AGTTTCAGAATTCCAATAAATAATGGGTTTTGAGAACCAAGATAGAGGGGGAAAAAAATCCTGCTCCAAATTGTTTCATTTCAAACTCTTCCTGTCAAATTACATGGCAGAGGGTTTAAAATTTGTGCATAATTTTAGCTGGGAGATAAAAGGCTGCTGCCAGAAAAGCTGGGAGAAAACGGTGCCAAATAGCTAAATCAAATATTATTTTCACACACATGCTGCAAAAGCTCCCCTAAGCTGCAGCCATTTGGGGAAGTGTTATCCAACACATTTGGAAGCCCCAGGCCAACGAAAGCCATCTTCCTATGGAATGGATGAATTTGCCATACACATTTCATTGCTCTGTCCTTTGAGTAAGTGCTTCCAAGTAGCTAGTAATTATTCTGTATTGTTGGCCAGCTCAAAAAATGTTCCAGATGAGATCAAGCTCAGCCTGAACATCTCTCCCAGGGCAAAATAAATAATATTTAGAACAGGCACAAAATACGGGTACAAGCTGCTGCTCCTTCAATTAGTTGGCTGAACTTCAGCAACTACATTAAAAATCAATCTCTTATTTTACAGAACCAAAGACGAGCTGTAGAAAACAGGCCTTTTCTTTCATCACATTTCAAAATTGCAGATTTTGTTAACTTGAAATCCCATAAATTAACAGTGGCAAGTATTCTGCAAAAGTAACTCCAAAAACCACATTTAAAGGTTCAAAACTATTATCCATCTACCATGCTTTGGAAATCTTAACTTCCCAGAAATGATATGCAAATTACAGCCATGTTTTACACAGAGACCCAAATCCCAAAATCTACCCTAGCACTTTAAATTTTTGAAAGTTTGCGCTTCCACTTTACTTTTCCACAGTCTCAATTAACTGGAAATAGATAGAGCGTAGACTTTGGTAAGTTTCTCCCTATAACTGCAACATTTCACGACAGGAACGTTGAGCGTGAGTGGAGGATAAATGCAATTCTAAATATCATACAACTGATCAGGGTTGTCAATAATAATAACTATTACGAGTACAAGGCGGAGAGTCCCAGACTGGGGGGAAAAAAAAATTTGAAGCCAAAATCCTGCTCTGTCAACAGATCTTCACATGAGATGCATTTTGTACCCAGACGTTTCAATTTTTCATTTAAAAAAGTGCAAAGAATCAGAGCTAGCATTCCAGGCATTTGTCATAAAAAAGAAGAAGAGCAACATGAAAATTTCAGCGGAAAGTCAGTACAAAAGATAAGAAGAGGTGCCCGGTGCGCAAGTCTATCTTGTTGGAAATACTCGCACGGCAATCTTTTGGGGAAAAAAGAATAACCGTTGCCCTCGGGACAGGACCATGAATTCTCTAATTTTCAGAGTTAACGAGGCAGGCTCAAAACCCATGCTGGTCTCAGAGGTTTGTCCCCCCCATCTTGTCATCTCTCATTCTTGATGCAACCTCAGACAGCTTAATTTTCCCCTAAGCGCCAGGTTTGCAGTTGGAGAAAATCTGGGTTCTAATGAAGTGCAGCGGTCAACACCAAAGCAGTTCTTACAAGAGGGCAGGAATTAATTGGAAGTCAGGCAGGCAAACCTCAAGTTTTGGGTTTTTTTAAAAAAAAAGAAGTGTTGCAAATTACCTCCTGTCTCCTAATTAAAATGGTAAAGTTATGTCATAACCAGCACTGGGTTTCTCCACTATTCCTGCAAAAGAAGCAAGGTTCTTGTCCTTACAGAAGCTGTACTAGCTGCGCCAGGGGTGAGGTTTCCCAAGGCAGGCTCACTCTAGAGCAGGGGCCTCTAAACTTGGCAACTTTTAAGTCAGGTGGATTTCAGTTCCCAGAATTCCCCAGCCAGCACATGCTGGCAGGGGGATTCTGGGAGTTGAAATCCACAAGTCTTAAAATGGCCAAGTTTGGAGATGCCTTCTCTCTACAGCACCCCAGCTGTCCTTAAAACTCACTTCTGTGACATGAGATGGAAAGAGGCAATGCCTTGTCTACCACTGTTCTAGAAACAAGAACATAATAGACAAACTGTGACCCATTGAGTCATCATTTCAGAGATATTTCTTTGGCAGATTCCCCAAAGCCTTCAACAACTGCAGAGCTTAGTCACCCATTTTTCAACCAACTCTGGGCAGGTGAAAAAGAGGGGGGGGGGGAAGAAAGGAAAGAAAAGGAAAGAAAGGAAAAGAAAGAAAGACAGACAGGCAGACAGATTTATATATTTCAATCTTTGGAATCTGCCCAGAGTTAAACTCAGGGCAATATTCAGAGATGTACCTGCCTTGAAAGCTGAACTGTTCAGCATAAACATCAGGACTTGATCACAGAAAATGTTTTATGACATTTTGTATTATGTCATAAAATGCTTTATGATTTTTACGTTATGACATGTTTTGTAAAATTTGCCAAATTTCAGTCCCACCGGAATCCTGGGTCCCTAGTTTTGGACACATTCTGCAAGTTAACCCATTTGAGGTACTGGGTTCAAAATCTGCTGCCCTGTGATGCACTGTTTTGCTCAGGGAAAGGTTGCAGACACGAGACATTTAGTAGTACAAGTTGTCCTTGACTTACGGCCACAATTCAGCCCAATACTTTGGTTGCTATGTGAGACAGTTGTTGAGTTTTGCCCCATTTTATGACCTCTCTTACCCCAGTTGTTGAGTGAATCACTACATTGGTTAAGTTAGTAACATGGTTGTTAAGGGAATCTGTCTTCCCCATTGATTTTGCATGTCGGAAGGTCACAAAAGGTGATTTGAAGGGAATTAACAAGCTAAACACACAAAATATAAAATACTAGGATAACAAAGCGGTTCCTTTGTTAGAGTGAGAAATCCCTTTTTGAGCGGCGGTGCAAATCACAGAATTGACAAACACACACAGAGTCCTTTGATCAGCCTGCTTGTGGAAATTGGCTACGGGTGGGGGGGGAACGGACTCCTCCCAAGTCCATGCTATCTATATCTGCGTTGCTTCAGAACTCTGGAAATCACAGCTCCGCACACTTGCAGCACACTCGATTAAATTAAAAGCTTCCCATGCCTAGTTTGCAAAACGCTGCAAGATCATTATATGGCAGTTAAAAGGGTATTAAAAATCCTTCTTTGCTGCCAGTTAATCGTCCTCTGGATTTCAGCAGCCCAGATCTAGTACCCTGAAGCTTTATTGTAGGAAGGTGGTTTTTAAAAAGCAGATCATGCACCAAAGAGCAGCCTTGAATCTTGGTGAACAGGAAGCAAAGCTCAACAACGTGGCTAAAATCCAACTCTGTCGTTTTGCACATGCAAGGGAGGAAACTGTCCATTCCTTAACAGAGAAAGCAGCTCATTACAAACTCCAGCAATGTTTTGGCGCCACCTTGTGCCAAACCAGAGAAATGAGCCTATCTCTCCAAGGTCAAAAGAGCTTCAGTTAAAACTGGTACAATTCACTATCGCTGCACTGATTCTAACAAGCCCTCATATTAGGGAACAACCAGGATCTTCTAGTTCAATGTTTCCCAACCTTGGCTGTTTTAAAATGAGTGGATTTCAACTCCCAGATTTCCCCTAGCCCCTATGACTCACATGGATTCCTCTCTGCCTCGCCTGAACCGAGTAATAAGCGCGCACGCACCATGAGCCTAGCGGGGTCCTTTCCTACTGTTGCCCTGTTCCCGGGTGCCTTGTCTTCTTATTCTCACGCTTCATTGGATACACCAGGATTCCTCCTAGCTACCTTCATGCTCACTGCTATTGTCGGGCAACCCACAGAAAGTCCAAAACAATGAAAATGCAGGGGTAGCTCACTTACAGGAAGTCCTTGACTTACAACAATTGAGCCCAACATTCCTGTTAAATGAGACATACGTGAAGTGAGTTTTGCCCCATTTTGCGATCTTGCTGTTAAGTGAAGCACTGCAATTGTTAAGTGAATTTCCCCATTGACTTGGGGTGCAAAAAAGGATCACGTGACCCCCAAGGCCCTGCAACCATCATAAATGTGAGTTGCCAAGCATCCAAATGTAAATTGTGTGACCAGCGGGGTGCTGCAACGGCTGTAAGCGTGAAAAACGGTCATAAATCACTTTTTTCAGTCCTGTTGTAATTTTGAACGGTCACTAAACAAACTGCTGTAAGCCGAGGATTAACTGTATTTCCCTGCATGAAGGCAAAGTGCAGGTGCACTCCTTACAGAAAAGACACTCAGTCTTCCATTTTAAAGTTCTGAATTACAGATTCACGCACTGTGCTAAGCTGTAATGCAGCTGGTGTGGCTTCATGTTTTAAAACCTGACCAAAATATAATTTACTCCTCTGTGATCCAGGACAACATAGAAACCAGGTTGGTGTTTCTTCACAGAGCCATCCCAAATGAAAGAGACAATAATTTCTGTAAGGTGTTTGAGCAACAGCAAGCAATAGCGTTTAGACTTATATACTGCTTCATAGTGCTTTACAGCCTCTCTAAGCGGTTTATAGAGTCAGCGTATGTCCCCCAACAATCTGGATCCTCATTTTACCGACCTCGGAGGGATGGAAGGCTAAGTCAACCTTGAACTGGTGAGAATCGAACTGCTGGCAGTCGGCAGAGTTAGCCTGCAATACTGCCTTCTAACCACTGTACTACCACAGCTCAGGAAAAGGTGTTTTAGCCATAAGTTCTGCAAGAACCCCATAATAGATTCGGGAGGGATAAGGAAAGGTGCATTAGTCAGTGCCAACTACTATCCAAGGCAGTTTTACTTAGAACGCAAAAGCAAGGCTTGTTTGAACCTTTCATTCTCCATACCATGGACAAAGACCAGTAACTCCTAGCCTGGCAGAGACCAAAAATAAATGAACATTGTGATTCACAGCCAGAGTGGACAGGTTAATTGTAGGTACAGCCTCACGGCACAGATTGTGATTTGAATTTGGGCATAAGCATGAACAAATCCCATTTTGGATAGACGATAGTTCTGACAGTTGATCTCTTAGATGACAAAGTTGTCCATCTGTCCTAGAGTGCACAAGAAAACACCAAGCGAGCCGGTTTTCTAGCCAGAGACGGTAACAGCTTTTAATGAGACAAGTCAGCACGCCTGTTAGGACAAATAACTGCTTTCCTCTTTTTGGAAATTCCTTCACATACCCACCGGGGAGAACAGTTTTCCTTGAGAAATTAAAACGGTGTGCGCAAGCCCAAGCTTCACTATTTATGGTGGGTCTGCTGTTTTCCTCCTGCTATGACTATTTACATTACAGTACCACGTGGTGATCAACCAGGAGGCCAGGAGGAACCTGGGGGAGGGCTTTACAATACAGACAGGTGAGCCCAAGTCCAAAAAGGCAATCTGATTATTTATAGATTTGTACATTATACAATACATACATACGTATATATATAGAGAGGTTTGTGTGTTCACACAGATACATTGCTCTCTGCAGTATTAAAAATTGATCGGCGTCTGTTCTATAAAAAAATACCTAACTCTACAAGGTAGAAAAAGGAAAAAAAAGTCTTTCTCTTTCCAAGTATACACTGATTTACACCCAAGGTTTCTTCTGGAAATGTTACAGTATGTGGATTCTTCCTGCAGACTCCTTTTTTTGGGGAGGTACAGAGAAATACAGGATATTAGTAAGCGTATAAGAATGTTTGGGATTTGAGAACCACTTTATAGTGGAACGACGTCTCTGCGTTTCTCTGACCATTTCAGCTCCATGTTCAAGCCAGTTGGACACCATTAATAGGGGAATCTGCTGATTTCTTTTTATAAATTCCAACGTCCTGGTTCAAGGAGCTGCAAAGTAATCCAGTGGCCCAACAGTTGGATCAAGGGTGAGAAAGCAAAAGTCAGTGGCTTTGGCCCAGAGCTATTCCACTCCTGTCTCCCAGGGCATTTTCAAACTAGCATTATGTGACTTTCACCATACATGAAGGGACTCCAAGAGCTCAACAGCTTGAAGATTCCAAAGAATGGAGAGGAATAGCATATGCCAGCTCTCAGCGCGATCTCTTACACCCCAGAAAAATTATCTGCCATGCGTGGGTCACTCAGACACAAGTCTGGTTGTCCCATACGTTGTGTGTCTCAAGTTGCACAATTGCTTTAGAGAGGTGGTCACTGGAGGAGACACAGAGAAGGCATGTATAGAAATGTACAATCTCACCTCCCCGTGGGCTGCTGAAGGTTCTCTCTAAAGTAAAGCATCTGTGAAGCAGGATGCACTCATGAGAGGTATAAGATGCCCCTTTCAAATTCCAAATAGTGGCATTTAAAAATCAGAAAGAATCCCCAAGAAGCAAGACTCTTTTAAAACACATTTCAAAGGGTAGATTTAAAACACATTGAAAACCTTTTCTCTTTTTTTTTTCAGGGGAAATAGCCTGCTACGGGCCAAATTCATCTTCCCCCCTAAAATTTAGGTTGGAGGGAATGTTGACTTGTCCCTAATTGCTTGTTTATCAGACTCCCGTCAATAGACAAAACTACTTCAGCCGGAGGAGAAGGGAGAAGAGCAGAAGAGTTTTGTGTTGAAGCTAAACTAATAGTAATAATTTGGTGTTCTATTAGAGCTTGAACAGGTCCTTTTAAGCCATCTGATGTGTTGGTGCCAACAGACAAACAACTCAGTTCTTCCAGTCTGTGATGTCTTCCCTTTCTTCTTTCCCCGTTTTTATTATTTAACCGACACATCCGTTGCCATTCTTGCCTTTAAAGTGGTTTAAACTAACGAAAACACCAAATGACAAAGGGTGTGAGAGGAAGCATGGAAGGAACCGGTTGCCGCCAAGAGGGGTGAAGAATCAGCTCTGCTTCCACACGCAGTATCATCAGCTGAGCTTTCTCCTCCTCTAGCACAGCCATCCACCAGCTGGCCCCCAACAACCAACTTCATCACCAGGGCTGCCACCCACCAAATCATCCAGAAGACCAGGCCTAAGTTTGATCTCTTCCTCTGTTTTTTTTTTTTTTTTTCCTTTCACATCAGCCCACCATAAAGCCTTCTCTGCGGAACGGCTCCCCTCCCTGGAGCACCTGCAATTCATGAGTTTTAAGGCAGACGAGCCAAGAACGGGGAGGGGGGGGGCTCTGAAACACGCTCTGCCTTGTGCAAAACGGTGCAAGAGAGACACAGAACCTGGCCGGAGTTCAAGGCAGCCCCCTTTTCCTTTCCACTGGCCAAAGAACCCAGGCAGCTTCAAAAAGGAGGGTGATCGGAAGGCTGATGATGAAGGAGAGATGATTAAACAGAGAGGCTGGGGAAGGCAGGTTCAGGAAGGGATCTGAGAGCGTCTTCCTTTTACTGCCGTGCTACAACTTCCAGGTACCGAGGGATCCAGCCACCTCCCACGCAGCACAAGCCTGCTTCTGGTGCTTGTGAACAGGAGGAGTTTCCAAGAAGGCTATTTGAAGGGGCCACCCAGATTCTGCTCCGTTCCTGCAAAAGAGGGCAGGTGTATGTTCACCCCCCACACACACACCCTCACCCCTCGTTCTGTGACTCCCTTTCTTTTTTTCTAAATTCTTTTTGACGCCCCTAGCCCAGTTCCCCACAAGCAGGAGGGTTCCAAGACCCATTAGAATCCGGACAGCCTCACTTAATGGCTGGTCCTCTCTCTCTCTCTCTCTTCTCCACCCCAAGTTCACTACGATCTGCCACCCAGCCACTCCAGCCGTGAGGTTTCCTGTGCCTTCTCCATAGAGTGAAGACTTGGCCAGTATTTCCTTTCTTCCAAGGAGCAAATCCGCCACACCCACGTGACGCTGGGTTTGTGTGGTTCTCAACTCTTAAAGTCTCCTACTTGACTTCCAGGATGGACGGGTTGGTTTCCATGATGGCCACAATGATTCGGTCAATGTAGTCTTGGAGTCGGAAGTTGATCTCTTCTTGCTTCTGGATTGCCTCCATCAGCTGGAGAGGACAAGAATCCGGCTTATTTTTTAATTCCCCCCCCCCCCCGCCTCTCCCAACACACTCAGCTCCACCTTTGTTGCTTGCAGGGAAATAGCCCCGGGAAAGTCCCTGTGAAGTTGCCACATTTACCTCGTCTCTGGAGACCGAGCTGATTTCCGCAGCCAGAGATTCAGAGAAGGAAGCAGAGAAGAGATTCTTGGCACCTTGAATACTGAGGTTTATGATCTGCCCATTCAGCTCGTCATTCTGCTCCTTCAAGATTCGGTTGTCCTGTTTGCAAAGAAAATCCCCCCTATGGTCACACGGGTTTCCGCTTTAACTGGGAGGCCAGAAGTGGCTGCCTTCCACAGAAGCCAACCACCAAGAGCTCTTTTGACCAAGGTTCTCTCTGTTCGAATCTCTCCCCAAGTCTTCACCCCACGATTGTTTTAGTCTTCACCCCACAATTGTTTTAACTAGAGCAGGGGTAGGCAACCTTGGCTCTTTTAGGACTCGTGGACTTCAACTCCCAGAATTCCTGAGCCAGCATGGCTCAGCTTGGGAACCTCTCCCTTTCCCCTCAGCATGGCTGGCTCAGGAATTCTAGGAGTTGAAGTCCACGAGTCATAAAAGAGCCAAGGTTGCCTACCCCTGGTCTAGGTCTTTAGGCAGCACAGGGACCCCCAAGTTGACTGAAGATGTGAAATCTAATTTGCTCAAATCAGTGCTGGGTACGGGGCCCATCGAAAAGAAACTAGTCCTGCTTCCTTCACGATACTTCAAAACATGAGGAGAAACCACTGTTGTGTGTCCCTTTCTGAACAATCCAGTTGGCCTGTGCCATGATTGGCAGGTGTGTCCTTCTAAACCAGGGGTAGGCAACCGTGGCTCTTTTATGACTGGTGGACTTCACCTCCCAGAATTCCTGAGCCAGCCTGGCTCAGCTTGGAAACCTCTCCCTTTCCCCTCAGGATGGCTGGCTCAGGAATTCTGGGAGTTGAAGTCCACGAGTCCTAAAAGAGCCAAGGTTGCCTACCGCTGAACTAGGCAGTTGCCCTTGGCATATAAAGCACTGGAGAAATCAGGAGATTCGGGCAATTCCAATGAGTGTCAAGATTTATTCCAGGTTTAAGCTCTCTACAAGATTGGTGGTTAAGGGGAATGAGTGGGAGATAAGAGAGGCATTCAAAGTGGGCTGGACTTAGATCTCTTGAGGGTGTGAAGGGACTCCTCACTAATGACGAGTTTGACCCCTCCCTCGGGCTCAGCCTGCTCATCTCCTACATGGGATCTTCTGTAGGCTCCAGCTCTCCAGTAACCCATGCTAGCTGCGGAGTTCTGGGAGTTGAAGCCCATACACCTTAAAGTTGCTAAGGTTGAGAAACACTGCTTTAAGCCGATACCCACAGCTCATTCCTCCAAAGATCACAGAATGAATACTTCTGCACGGAGCCACAGGTGTTAAGAGCTTCCCTGCTTCTCTCCATCCCCTAAGATACCTCCAGCAATGCCACCACAAGTGGAAAGCTCCTCAACTGTCCCACGTCTAGAGTTTGTCTACCTGCTTAAGCCGTCTGATCTCTTGTTCCAGTTCATTCTCTCGCGCCCGGCTGTTGTATTCCTGCAGGCCGACGCTGCTGCTCCGGCCTCTTCGCTGCTCGGCTTCCAGCTTAAAGAGCTGCAGGTGTTCCAGCTGTTTCCTGAGGTCCTCAATCAGCTGCAAGGCAAGCAAGCAAGATCAAGACCAACGGCATTTGCACGCAATTCACATGCTGTATAAGAAAAAGTCAGTCAGCAGAAAGCATAGGTGTCCCAGCCAGGCGAGGATTCTTGTCATCCTTCCCAAACCATCTTTTTGGCCATTTAATCTGAACTGCACCCAGGAGGAGGCCATTTCTGCTGAGAGGCATGGCCCCTCTATTCCCTGCAGCTATCCTGCACCGAAGGAAGCTGATGGCAGATTGCAAATGGGTTGTGTCTGCAGAGGGATGAAAACATTTCAATCAATAATTGCTGTCAAAGGTCCAACGTCTAAAATGTCCTCTGAACAGAAGGGTAAGATACAAATCAGAGAAAGGAAGAATTCATTTTAGAATATAATAATAATGATAAAGTTGGAAGGGACCTTGGAGGTCATCTAGTCCAACCTCCTGCTCAGGCAGGAAACACTATACCATTTCAGACAAATGGCTGTCCAGTTTCTTCTTAAAAACTTCCAGTGTTGGAGCATTCACAGCTTCTGGAGGCAGGTTGTTCCACTGGTTAATTGTTCTAACTGTCAGGAAGTTTCTCCTTAGTTCTAGGTTGCTTCTCTCCTTGACTAGATTCCATCCATGGTTTCTTGTCTTGCCTTCTGGGGCTTTGGAGAATAGCTTGATTCCCTCTTCTTTGTGGCTGCCCCTGAGATATTGGAATACTGCTATCATGTTCCTCCTTGTCCTTCTCTTCATTAAACTGGACATACCCCATTCCAGCAACCGTTCCTTATATGTTTTAGCCTCCAGTCCCCTGATCATCTTTGTTGCTCTTCTCTGTACTCTTTCTAGAGTCTCAACATCTTTTTTACATCGTGGTGACCAAAATTGGATGCAGTATTCCAAGTGTGGCCTTACCAAGGCATTGAAGAGTGGTATTAATACTTCACGTGATCTTGATTCTATCCCTCTGTTGATGCAGCCCAGCACTGTGTTGGCCGTTTTGGCAGCTGCAGCACACGGCTGGCTCCTATTTAAGTGATTATCCACCAGGACTCTGAGGTCCCTCTCACAGTTACTACTATGGAGCAAGGTACCCCCTATACTATACCTGTACATTTGGTTTTTCTTGTCTAAATGTAGAACCTTACTTTTTTCACCTGTGTGGTTCTTGTACTGACATTAGTTTTTTTCTCCTTCTTCCATGCACCTCAAGTTTGGGATATTAGAAGCAGTCCTCAACTTACGACAGTTTATTTAGTGACTATTCAAAGTTACAAGAGTACTAAAAAAAAGTGACTTAAGGCTGTTTTTCACACTTAATGACCGTTGCAGCATCCTTGTGGTCACGGGATCAAAATTCAGCCACTCAGCAACTGACTCATATTTATGGTGGTTGCAGTGTCCTGGGGTCACGTCATCCCCATTGGCAACCTTCTGACAGGCAATGGGGAACCTGGATTCATTTAACAACCGGGTTACTAACTTAACAACTGCAGTGATTCACTTAACAACTGTGGCAAGATAGTTCGCAAAACGGGACAAAATTCACTTAAACGTTTCACTCAGCAGCGGAAATGTTCGCCTCAGTTGTGGTCGTAAGTTGAGGACTACCCGTATAGAGCACACGATACCATTCAGATCTTGCAGGTATTTGTTTTGTTTATTCTGTTCCTCACATCTTCTCCAGCTTCTTGACTGCAAAAGGAAATCCTGAACTTGAAAACCGTGCCAAAAGTTTGCAAGCGGTGAAGTTCCTTCCCAACCGCACAAGAGTGTCGTGGTCTGTTTGAGCTCCTGGGAACCAGCAGTGGCCCTTCTCACCTCCTGCGTGGACTCTTTATCTTTCTGGAACTGGTGTCTCTCGTGGTTCAACTTCTCCCCCAGCTTTCTCTTGTTCTCCTGCTCTTCCGTGAGCTGAACGGTGAGATCTTCAATTTCATCTAACAACTTCTGCTTCTCCTAGAAGAAGGAAAAAAAAGAAGGAGATCAATGAAACTGGGAATCTTCTAGCAGCTTCATCCCCAGGAGAAAAAGGCTCAGATCCCTTAGGGCTAAAGCACAAGATTGGCGTGCAAACATTTCCCACCCGTAAGGCTAGCCAAAATGGGTTCAAACATCTCACCCCTATGCTGGAAATGTAAAACACGTACTACCATATGTGGTGGGAATGCCCAAAGATTCGTGAATATTGGAACAGGACACGAAACTGATTGAGGGATATATTAACACTGGACTTAAGAGTTAAAATCTGAACCCTTCTTGTTGGGAATAACAACAGAAAAATACGACAGGGGGACAATCTACCTGCTGCTACACATCCTGACTGCAGCTAGGCTTGCTTTTGCGCAAAAATGGAAGAGCAAGGAAATTCCCACAGAGGAAGAGTTAATACATAAAATGTTAGCATGTGCGGAAATGGACAGGCTCACAATGATATTAAAAGACAAATGTGGATCAGTTTATTATGAAACCTGGGATAAATTTTACCGCTGGAGGAATTCGAAGAGGACGGTCAGGATTAAAGATGAATGTTAAGATAGAAATATATGTTATTTTAGAATAAGTATTGTATATAAAACTTAGATGTATATGTAAAGATGAAGAATTGATTGTAAAAAGTGGAATAATCTGATAAGAATGTATATACTGGAATGTCATGTTAAATCCCATGTTTGTTTGTTTTTAACTGTATTATAAATAAAATTTGAAAAAAAAAAAAGATTGGCATGCAAACAAGCAAGGTTCAATCTCACCCTACCTGACTTTACCTGCTGTCTGTGGGCAGCAGAGCTAGACCGAGAAATTGTGCTAGCCAAGGCCAACATCTGTCCCAGCTGTTAAACAGAAAACTACTGAATTCTTTTACACGGGGGATAGAACTCACTGAGAACAGCAAACTCGGCTAGCCGGTTGGCCACAGAATTGTCCTGCAGTCTTCCTGTCCCGTTAAGCAGCTGCTATCTGCTGCCTCTGTTCTGCCCAACAATAAGGACTAGAGAAGAGTCAACAAAGTTTTGGAAGCTGCCAGGAGATGCTCCAAGAGGACAGTAAGCAATGCTGCTGGTTACTGCGAGATAATGAAGGATTCATTTCTGCAAGGCTCCCAGTGCCCCATCATAATGTTCTGGGATACTGCAAAGGCTTGCCATTTCATCTGGGTTTAATAATACGGGGCAATATAATTGCTCAGTCCCTCGATAGCTGAAGTGGGGTGGGGAGGAGGAGGAGGAGGAGGAGGAGGAGGAGGAGGAGGAGGAGGAGGAGGAGGAGGAGGAGAAAATTGCCTAAAAAAAGGAAGTGCTCACCTCCTCCAGCCTCTCAATGTTGGCTTTGAGGCAAGGGACGCAGGATCGAAGTTCTCCATTTTCGTTGTCCAGTTGATGCAACCTGCATATTTGCATAAACCGAAAGGCACGCTTAGAAATCGTATTTATTTATCTATTTAAAGCATTCATCTAGCTTCCCATCTTATGCCAAACTTTGAGTGGCTACCGATAGAAAATCAAAACAATATCTGTAATAAAACATAAAACCCACATTAAAACTATTAAAACCATAAACATTAACTTGGTGCAAAGTGTTTTTGTTTTTAAACAGAAATCTAGTATGGAACGTTATCCCAACAGAGCTGCATTAACGCCCTGGATTCTAATTAATCAACCCTATTCAAAAATTTGCATCCAAAATGCAAAACAGGAAGCGATGCCAACCCTCCTCCTGCTGTTTTTCATATGACCTATATTAAAATTCCCATTATTATTCTTTTGGGATTTTTCCATATTCCGTGCATATTCCGCAGACTGCTGAAAAAAAAAATGGCTCTTCCCACAGAGATGAAGGCAATTATGCTTCCTAGCCAAACTTTTTTTTTCCTCCTCTTTTGTTCAATTAAAACATTTTAGCCCAAATCTCCTGTAATCGTTCTCCTTGCAGAACTAGAAATCTAAATCTGTCAGGTGTAGAATTTGACACCTGTGAATTAAGAGTGAACATTGTGGGAGGGGGTTCAATATGCCGAGTGCAGAAATCTCCCCCCCCCATCCTGTCTGTCCCAAATGTTAAACCAACTGCATTGAGCAGATACAATATATTTTTTTTAACCTCTGTAAGGATTATTTCATTAGCAGCAGGAAATCAGACATTCAATTTTCTCTTGAGGTGACACACAAATGACAATAACCCATCACTTCCACGGACTGAGCCATCTTACTGGGCTTGTAGGTTTTCAATCTCCATGCTTTTTTCTCGTTCCATTCTGCTGAGCAGGTCTCTCTGTTTCCTGATTTCTTCCATAAGGATTTCATCAGATTTCATCTCTTGCTCTTTCAGCTGCTCTTCTAAAGCGTTTGCCCTGTCCGGAAAAAGAGGGGTTTCAAGTTTAATGCCACTTACTGCCCCGTGAAAACTCACGGTCTGTGGCACACGGACTCAAGGGAACTAGAGAGGTGTTTATTTGGGATCCACAAATTCCGAGACTTACGTCTGGATTTCTTGCAGACATTACAAAGCGATATAGGCGGCCTACCCGTTTAAGAAATTTGGTGAGATGGGTGGCATACAATTTTAATACATAAGTAAATTGTAGACGGTAGCCCCTTTTCAGATTAAAAGGCACCCGCTTTTGTGCACTACAGCTCATTTCATCAAGGTGCACCAGGGGGGAGGAGGGTTTAAAGTGATGTAGGATTTAAATTGGAACTAGGGAAGCTGTTAATCTGAAAAAGTGCTACCAGACGCTTCCTGTGATATTGGCTAATCTTTATGGTGCACTAAAGCACCTGCAAAATGTGAAAAAGAGCTGGAAAATGGTAACATTTCTACACTCCAAGGTACATCGTGTAGGAGATGACCAAGCTGAGCCCACGGGAGGAGTCAAACGCATCATAAGTCACAAGACCCTGCATGCCTGCAAGAGATCAAAGTCCAGCCCACTTTGAATGCCTTTCTTATCTCCCACTCATTTCCCTTGACCGTTAGTTGGTCAGAGGTCTTGTAGACCGCTTAAGCGTGCAATAAACCTTTACGCTCATTTGAACTGCTGACTCTCCTGATTTCCCCAGCACTTGACACCTAAGTTCTATTAGAAAATATTCTCTTCTCAATTCCTCTCTTAAATGCTTTTTTAAAAGGCAGACCCCAATTTTATTAGTGCTTGCCTTGAGGATTCATTAAATCATTACGCAGCCTAATCCACTGAAGTCCTGTTGAGAAAGTAGTGCTGAAAAAGCAGCTGTATGAAGAAACAATCCTTATAACAATAGCGTCAGCCTGCCTTTAAAAAAAAGCTGAATTTCTAATCCGGGTCTTCTGGCTGTTCTGCAAGCATTGTAAATGAAGCCCCACTCCAAAAGGGTCAACATCTCAACCATAGCACAGAATTGGGCCTCCGCTCTTTTCAAACGGACAGATCTGTTTCTTCAAGGCGTACCTGTGCACCAACTGAAGGTTTTCTTGCTTTAACCGGCTCTGCTGCTCCCCATTGGCCACTGTGTCCTTTTCCAGCTCTGACACTCTTTTCTCTAAAAAGGTCACCTGCATCAGGGGCATTGACAAAATCCTGATCAGTCAATTGCAAAAGGCAGCTTTACTTGGAACAGCTAGCATCCTGCAACTATACCTTTAATATTCTTAAACAACATCTGCCTGTCACAGGTCCTCGGGAAGGACTTGATAAATGGGAAAAAATGCCAAATCCAGTCTTAACATCTGGCTGACTGTGTGACCAACCACAGTAATACAGACGAGCGCTTGCCGCATCACAGTCCAGACTTAAAAATTGTTGAAAGGGGAAAAAAAATGTCTGGACAGTGGATATGGCAGTGCCTGGAGACGGCAGAATGGAAAAGAAAAAAAACCTGTAGAAAATCAGAAAATACAAAGACCTGCAAGCAGAAGTAGAATGGCTGTGGCAAAAGAAAGCAAAGGTAGTACCAATAATAATAGTCACTTTCGGTGCAATCCCAAAAAGAACTGGAGGACCAATTGAACACCATCGGCATTGACAAAATCCCTATCTGTCAATTGCAAAAGGCAGCCCTACTCAGAACAACTTACATCCTGCGATGAGACCTCTAAACCATAAAACAGAGTTCCCCAACATTTCTGTCTTTGCGGACCGGCAGGGGGTGGAGGGGATGGTTCGTGCCAGCGGCCAGCAAATGCACGCAGCTCCTTTTCCACAAGCGGCATGTGCACTGGATGCGGGTACGCATGCTCCTTGGCTGTTTCCACGGCCCAGTTGCAAACCTATCATGGCCCACAGGTTGGGGACCCCTGCCATAAAACATCTATACCTGCCTATCCCAGGTCCTTGGGAAAGACTCGATAAGTGGATTAAAATGGCAAATTCAGTCTGAACATCTGGCTGACTGTGCCCAACTATAACAAGAATAATAAAAGCCACAGGATGAGTGGATAAGTTCCTTTGCTCCCTGCTCTCTCCCACTCTGTATGTGCACACATGTGTGTGTCCTCTATTCAGTTAAACACACCTATACACAATCTCCTTCGGTTCCAGACACACACACGTACCTTATCAGTTATATCCTCCTCCAGACCCTCAGAGGTCTTCTGAAAAGGTTGTTCTATATTATCCATCGAAAAGCTTCCTGTCTGATGCAGGTGCCTGTAAGCAAGACAGAGGAATGCAAACAAAAGCAAGGCCACCATCATCACCACAGACAACGGGTGACCAGTGCAGGCTTTCATTAGTGAAATCCTATTCATCCTATTTCAATTTCATAGCTTGGAGGTTCCCATCTACAGTGACCCTCCAGATTTTTTGGGTGGCCTTCTAAGCTCCGAAAACAATCTGGTAGGTTTTAGGTTGGCTCTAGAGCAAAAGAACGAATCGATGGAACTTTACCCTCTCATACTTTCGCTCTTTGGAATATGGGGTAATCAAGCTCTGACTTTCGGCACGCGATCCCTTTTTCCATCTTCACACAAGGAGAACCGCACACCCCAAAGCGATAAAGAGAAAAGAGTCGGGGGCAGGTCGAGTTGTAGCAAGATAGTGAAATAGCTCTCCTCGGATCAGCAGCGGAGGTTAACTGGACCGCTACCACGTCACCCAGCTTCCGTGTTGTGGTCCAAAGTCTGCCGTTTTATGGCAAGTCCTTTGGTCCAGACGTTTATCAACTCGGAATAGACTTTATCACTAAACAGGTGTTCAATAAGCCATCCTGCGATAAAGAACCAAGTCTAGTAGGGGAAATTTCTGTTGCCAAGCGAGAGGTAACTTGTTAAGTAATTTTTGCCCCATTTTACGACCTTTCTTGCCACAGTTGTTAAGTGAATCACTGCAGTTGTTTAGTTAGTGACCCGATTGTTAAGTGAACCTCACCTTCCCCCATTGGCTTTGCTTGTCACAAAAGGGGATCTCGTGACCCCGGGAACAGTGCAACTGTCATAAATACAGGCTAGTTTGCCAAGTGTCTCAATTTTGATCAGCGGATCATGGGGATGCTGTAATGGTCTTGTGTGTGCAAAAATGGTCATAAGTCACACTTTTCAGTGCCGTTGTAACTTTGAACGGTCACTAAAGGAACTGTTGTAAGTTGAGGAACTACCTGTATTCCCCCCAACTCCAATGTCCCTGCGAAACCTCACCGCATCTCTATTTTCTATTTTCTTTGGAGGTTTTTTTTGTTTTTACTTCCTAGTCCAGCCCTCAACCTTGGGTTTTACTAGGGGTCTCCTGTCCGTGCATTCACACAAACATAGGACTACTTAGCTTCTAAGGCAGTGATGGCGAACCTTTTAGAGACCGAGTGCCCAAACTGCAACCCAAAACCCACTTATGCATCGTCGAGTGCCGGGTGGGTGTGGCCCATTGGCTGGGCGTGGCCCGTTGGGTGGGCGTGGCTGCGGTGGTAACGGCAGACTGGGTGGGACTAAAAAGTTCAATCAATCAATTCCAACTTTGCAAGATCTTTTTTTTTCCCACGAGAAGTTGAAATTGACTGATTGAACCTTTTTTTTTTTTTTTTTTGCACACAGCGGCGGAGGCCTAAAGCAAAAAGGTTTTATAAAACCCAGCTGAAGGCCTAGGACTGGGGCGACGGCACGCATGCCCACAGAGAGGGCTCTGAGTGCCGCCTCTGGCACCCGTCCCATAGGTTCGCCACCACTGTTCTAAGGCCAAAGAGAGTTGACCAGATGCTGTTGCCAGCTGACACTTATATTATCCTCCCAATTTCAAACAAGAAGAACCCACAGAGAACGGCTAATTTGAAGAGCACTAACTGGCTGAAGCATCCGCTTCTCCGCCAGGGAAAGTTAGGGAGGGGGAAAAAAAAAACATACTTCCTCTAAAAGGACAATTAAAATAAAGCAATAAAACAAAAACAAGAAATAATTCTGGGCAGTGTCTTCCAGCAGATTTCCCTTAAGTTAGAACAGTGGGGAAAGTGCTGCATTGGCTAAGAAGCTGCAAAGGGATTGGAATTTTATACTGACAGCATTTTAATAATGGCAGGAGGCACACAGGTACACAGGAAGGTAAGCCTTTTTTATAGGCTCTCTCTCTGTCAACCGCAACCTGCAGCCTTTGCAACAGGTAGCAAACTGGAGGGGAAAAGATGGCCCCAATTCAACACCCTTTTCTTGCGAGGTAAGACAAAAGAAGCCCCTGGATTTCAGAAAGGGATCTTGAGTGCCAAACGCAGATTCTTGGAAACGAGGCATTTCTCAGCTGGGTTATAATTAAGGCAGAGTCTCTTGAAATAACCTGCAATGCTTCTTCCCAGGTTTCTGCTCTACCAGGGCTAAGTTACTGTTTGTGAGAGAAACTGACTTGTCCCGTTTCTGGTTCTTTGTATTGGATCACCCTTTGTTTTTCATTTAGTTGCTGGCAGAGAAATCTCCCAGCAACTCGATGAAAAATGGGCTCAGGAGTGAGTTGGATATCCTCCCAATAGGCCTTTTCTCACAGATGCACGTTGGCAACCAATGCAGAGATGGCATCTCTAATACTAAGAGCACAACCTGGTGGTTTTCAGTCAATCAGAATAAAGCTGGAAGGGACCTTGGAGGTCATCTAGTCCAACTTTCTGCTCAAGCAGGAGACCATTGCTGGCTGTGGAATTCTGGGAGTTGAAGTCCAAATGCCTTAAAATTGTCAAGGTTGAGAAACACTGTCCTATACCATTTCAGACAGGCGGCTGTCCAGTCTTTTCTTAAAAACCTCCAGTGATGAAACAGCCACAACTTCTGAAGGCAAGTTGTTCCATGAGTTGATTGTCCTCATTGTCAAGAAATTCCTCCTTAGGTCTAGGTTGCTTCTCTCCTTGATTAGTTTCCATCCGTTGCTTCTTGTCCTGCCTTCAGGCGCCTTGGAAGATAACCTGACCCCCCTCTTCTTTGTGGCAGCTTCTCAAATATTGGAACAGGGCTATTATGTCATCCTTAGTCCTTCTTTTCTCTAGCTTTCAGAGCTTACATCCTCCCTCCCCAAGGTTTGCCAAAATTCCCCCTGGAACCCCTACCAAAAAAACCTCATCCTTTATGGGATCTTCGCTCCCTCCTGCTCAGTTCAGCAAAGGACCCACCCACCCACCCACCCTAAGCTGAGAACCTGCAAACCAACCTGCCTTGGAGATTCTTATTGTTAAGAGAAAGAAATGGTTCCACAACATCCTTGGAGTTTGGAGTAACAATTAATCCCTTTCCCTCCCCCCCCCCCCAACGAGAAGAAACTGCATGAGGAAAGCAGGGGAAAGAAAGAAAGAAAGAAAGGAAGGAAGAAAGAAAGAAAGAACGAAAGAAAGAAAGAAACATCCTCCTACCTTGCTACCTTTTTGCTGGAGACTCTCTGATTCGGGCTGTGGAACGAACAACAGGAAAACTAAATCAGGAAAGCTGATACCAACGAGCCACAGTGAAACAGGAAGCAAGCAAGGACAGAGCAGGAGGGCCATATCCTTTACAATTTGCAGCACAGCACACAAACACATCACCCACACACGCTGCTCCAGTGGCATGCATCGCACTCCCTCGGTCTTAGCCCTCTGGGCAAGCCAACCTGTGGAAGCCCTCTCAAGGGCGCCTTCTCAGAGGAGCATCAAAACTGGCCATCTCTGGAACCTGTGGACCAGTTTCTCCCCACCTCCACATTCGTTTGGATGTGTGGACTTCAACTCCCAGAACTCCCCAGCCAGCCAAGCTTTTCTCTGGCTATGGGCGAGACCTCTCTTTGAGTGGCATGCCAAGGAGGCAATAATCCAGATATTTAGTTGGAAGAAGACAAAAACCAGACTTCACAGAACTTGAAACCATTGGCCAACAGGTAATACAATTATTCTCCTGAATGTAACATTATTAACATTCTCCTACATTAAAAAATATACAATTCCACAAGAGGAGGAATTCAGGAGATCAGAAGAACTTTGTACAAAGATATGAATGCATCTCTTTCTCTCTCTCTCATGCAATTCTGAAGACCTTTGCGTGTCTCCGTGGCACCTGGCCCTGTTCGGTGGCTAAATCTTTCTGAGTTATACAAGGTCTCCGTTTAAAGACACATCTATCCATACAAGCCAAAAGCATCCAATCCAGATGTCCCTGGACCAAGTTTTTTCAGAACCCAGAGCTGAATGTTCAACCAACATCTAGAAAGCTAGCTCAACTGCTAAAGGTTACGAGTATCACTTTCTCTTGGGATTTAAATTACTTAATGATGTTTCACTGGATTGTCTGAATTGCTCCTCAGTTTCCCTCACGACTACCTCACGTTTTTGTCTGAACCCATACAGTGGCTTCACGAGGGCATTCCCGAGTTATTCCTTCGTCTTCTGCACGTCATCAAACATCACATTTCATTCCTTCAAGGGCACTCCAAGCAACCGCACTCACATAAACATAAATGTATATTTTTCCCATGAAATACCATCAAAGTAAATTACAAATGTGAACACACAACATAAACTGATGACTGGAAATTAAGCAGCAAGGAAATGGCTTCCAGAGATGTGTCTTCTAGGAGCTGAGTTACCATCAAGAGTACAACCGCCTTGGCATTTACTCTTTATTTGGCATAGCCTTCTCTCAACCCAAGGTCTTTCTAAAATGTTCTGGTCCATCAGAAGAGCCCTTGTTGGGAAGTGGCCAGCTCCAGCAACCATTCCCTCAAGGATATGAGGAACGGTCACTCAGAAATAAAGACCGTCAATGTTTTGCAGATGGAAGAACTTCCCCATCAGTCTTCACCACTCCACTCCACTCCAAATCTAGGGAAGTTACCAAATTCTCATATGGCCCTCTCCTTTCACCAGCAACCATGGGCACACCCTACAGCAGTGTTTCCCAAACTTGACAATTTTAAGGCATGAGGACTTCAACTCCCAGAATTTCACAGCCAGCAACGCTGGCTGTGGAATTCTGGGAGTTGAAGTCCACATGCCTTAAAATGTCAAGTTTGGGAAACACTGCCCTACAGGGTAGTCCTTGACTTACAAACATCTGTTTATCGACACTGTGAACTTAAAACAGCTTTGAAAAAAGTGATTCATGATCAATCCTCGCACTTATGACTTGTCACAGCATCCCCAGGGTCATGGGATCAACATTCAGGCGCCTCCTCATTGGCCTGTTTTTACAATTATTGCCGCATCCTGGGGTCCGGTGATCACCATTTGCAACCTTCCCAGACGATTTCCGACCAGCAAAGTCAATGAGGGAAGCCGGATTCGCTTAACAACTGGGAAAAAGGGTCATAAAATCAGGCAAGACTCAGTTAACAAACGCCTTCCTTAGCGATGGAAATTCTGGTCAGCTGTGGTCGTAAGTCAAGGACTACTGTAAATGAAACCAGACACTATACCTGAGTTTTCATAGCCTTCCAAATAGGTTGCCTCAGGGGGGCTGCCCCATTTAGGGCAGCCCTAAAGTTAATCCCTATGAATTCTGGCAATGCAGAGAAGACCCCCCCCCAATCCTATAATGCTAGACCTTCATTGGTGGACAGCAACTCTGAGTTTGCTGTCCTCATTTTTTTTTTTTTTTTTTGACCAACTGACACGTTCCTCTTCTTTCTGCTTCCACCTCTGTCAATGTAGAATCATAAACCGCAGGTTAGGGAGGAATTAAGCATCACATCCATATTAAAACCACAGGGAACCATGCAAGGAGAAAGCTGTAGAGCAGAACACTCACACACACAAAAAGCATTCCCACTAGCCATGTCCTTGCTTTAAGCTTAAATAACCATCAAAGAGTCTTCCTGGAGGTGAAGGGGAGAGGCCATTTCTAGAAGCATTGGCAGCGCACCTGTTGTTAAAATGATCAGCGTTAGACTACATCAGGGGTCTTCCAACTTGGCCCTTTTATGGCTTGTGGACTTCAATTCCTAGAATTCCTCAGCCAGCGTGCCTGGCTGAGGAATTCTGGGAGTTGAAGTCCACAAGTCATAAAAGGGCCAAGTTGGAAGACCCCCCCTGGACTACATGCATTCCTAGCAGGTAATAACTGCCATTGTTATTGAGAAATGGCATTCTTGCTTGTCCTTTTATAGGACACCGGTGGAATATCCCACCCAAGAGAAAGGTGGATCCCAAAATGTTGAAGAAATCAAGAGAAGGAACAAAGGCTCAGGCCAGTTCAAGAAAGTCTGCTGACACGCAATTCATATTTTTCTTTTAAGCTATCAAAAAGCAAGGACATGCGCTTGATTAAAACAAAGAAACAAACCACGGTTCATGCTCTTAACGAAGAAAGTGCCATGCCTCAAAACCAGTTACCTATGCATTTCAAGATCATTGAGGCGGGCGGACAGATCTTCGAGGCGGTTGATTTGTTTATGGCACTGGGTGCAGTAAAACTCAAACACCTCGTCAGTGATAATGTTGTGCAGTTTCGTGGCAAGTGGATTGGTGCTAGAGAAATCACATTTACACGTTACGTGAGGTCTTTTGCAGGCAAAAAAGAGGAACAGGAAGTCAAGGGTGGGGCTTGGGTGGCTTACAGAAGTTTTTTTTTTGCAAAAACAAAAAGTTGAAAAGCTAGCACTGATGACGTTACTTAGTTGGGTCATGAAACATATATATATAACAGAATAACAGAGTTGGAACGGACCTTGGAGGTCTTCTAGTCCAACCGCCTGCTCAAGCAGGAGACTCTATACCATTTCTGACAAATGGTGGTCCAATCTCTTCTTAAAAACCTCCAGTATTGGAGCACCTACAACTTCTGGAGGCAGGTTGTTCCACTGATTAGTTGTTCTAACTGTCAGGAATTTTTTCCTTAGTTCTGGGTTGCTTCTCTCCTTGATTAGTTTCCATCCGTTGCTTCTTGTCCTGCCCTCAGGGGCTTTGGAGAATAGGTTGACCCCCCCTCTTCTTTGGGGCAGCCCCTCAGATATTGGAACACTGCTATCGTGTCACCCCTTAGTCCTTCTTTTCTTTAAACTAGACACACCCACTTCCTGCAACCGTTCTTCATATGTTTTAGCCTCCAGTTCCCTAATCATCTTTGCTGTTCTTCTCTGCATTCTTTCTAGAGCAGTGGTTCTCAACCTTTCTAATGCCGTGACCCCATAATACAGTTCCCCATGTTGTGGTGACCCCCAACCACTTATACATCACTGGGTGCCAGGGGCATGGCCAAAGCAAAGGGGGAAAAAATGGCGGACAGCCTTGTTTGGCGACCCCCATGAAATGGTCATTCGACCCCAAATGGGGTCCCGACCCACAGGTTGAGAACCACTGTTCTAGAGTCTCAACATCTTTTTTTTCCTATCGTAGTGACCAAAACTGGATGCAGTATTCCAAGTGTGGTCTCACCAGGGGATATCGGTATGGCTGGTGCTGACAATATTAAAAATAAATCAACAAATAAGATTTAATGTATGGTCTTTTTTTCTTTTTTGAAGCTGGCTTGTGACTGACGTTCCCTTCTAGGGAAATAAACTTCTGAAAGCCAGCCGGCTTAGTCGGAGAGAGGTTAATTGTGAAAACTGCAGCCATCAAAACAACACGGTCAAACAGGCAGACTGCTGGAAAACAAAAATCAACTGTGGGATCTTCATTCGTACTGTTTTGTGAAAGGAATCACAGACATCAGAGACGGCACTCCTCTTCCACTGAACCGAACAGACAAACTGATCAATACAAACCACAGGAGGTCCACACCCTTGGACCAAATGTTTGACATTTCACACACACACCCCAACAGCTACCCCCTTTTCCAATCCTATCTCCCAACCGTTTTCTATAAAAATCAGAGGTTCCTTTCTTCCCCATGGATTTTTCCCAATATGGGAAGGTTCAAACTGAAACTGTCTGGTGGGCATCACGTTGGAGTAAAGAGTGTGATTTCTGAGCAAGCCTTTTCTTAAGAATCATAGAATCATAGGGCTAGAAGGGACCTTGGAAGTGTCCAAGTCCAGCCTCCTATCCAAGCTAGAGGTCCTTATACCCTTCTGGAGCACACACAACTCAGGGATGCAAGCTGTTCCACTGATGAATTGTTCTCACTGTCAGGAAATTTCTCCTCCAAGTGGGGGTCTTAGGATGGGTCCTAGGATGGGTTCATGAAGTATCTCAACCAGTGGTTCTCAACCTGTGGTCTGCAGACCCCTGGGGCACCACAGTGTCATCATCACAGCAGGTCCGCGAAGGCTTGAAAAAATGTGATGATTTAAATCTTCAGTTAAATCTTGGTGGGTCTGTGGCCATGGTCTGTGGCCGCAAGAGGTACTTAAAGGGGATCTGTGGTGAAGGAAAGTTTGAGAAACACTGATTTAAACCACACACACATACACATACAAACAGAGGTACTATATATCCCAGGACAGGGGTAGGCAACCTTGGGTCTTTTATGACTTGTTGACTTCAACTCCCAGAATTCCTGAGCCAGCCATGCCGAGGGGAAAGGGAGAGGTTTCCAAGCTGAGCCATGCTGGCTCAGGAATTCTGGGAGTTGAAGTCCACGAGTCATAAATGAGCCAAGGGGTTGCCTACCCCTGTCCCAGGAGATCATTTAAGGCTTCTTTCTTGGCTGTAACTGCAGCTGGAGTATAGCACAGGAGTGAGAAAGATTAAAAAAATCAAGACAGGGTTTTCCCAGGCTGTGCTAATCCAGATTCTCCCACCTTCCCCAGGACTGTTTCAGATTCTGAGCAGAAATCATGGAGTCAAGCTCCCTGAGCATCTCTCCCATGGCCTAAAAAAAATAAATAAATGTCACAAGCACAACTGATATGTAAATACAAACACGCAGCTACTAGACACCTCTTCTCTCCGGATTATTCTTAAAATGGCTTCCCGTGATGTGCAAGTGTGTCAAAAAAAATCCCCACCCTAATTAGATCTGAAAGCGATGCCGAGGGTCACTGTCTCAGGCTTATGGGCCAAAGATACCTGAGAGAAAGGAAAGACGAGCTACAGAAGCCACTTTCTCCATTGCACAAGCTCTCCGAGAAAAGGTCTCCTTCATTCCCTTCTCCGTAGTCCTCAAAATGTTCCTCTCCGCTGATTATGGTGACAATTGAGTGGCTGTTGACATCGGTGGTCAAGGACAAATCATGAGGGTGGGATCTGTTGGAGAAAAAGAAGGATCAAAGCATCAAGGGAGGGCACCAAGAAGATGGTGCAGGACCTAGCGCAGGTTTACACTGTTTACACTGTCGTGATGTGACAAGGAGATTGATTCTGTAATTCCATCCCCAGAGGCAACCTTGAAAAGAACTTTTCACAGTTGAATAACCTACAGACAGGCTGGGAATGTAGATCTCCAAATTCCCAGATTGAGTTCTGGTTCATCTAAAGCAATAGCAATAGAACGTAGACTTATATACCGCTTCATGGTGCATTGCAGCCCTCTCTAAGCGGTTTACAGAGTCAGCACTTTGCCCCCAACAATCTGGGGTCTTCATTTCACCCATCTCGGACGGATGAGTCAGCCTTGAGCCAGTGAGAATCAAGCTCCCGGCAGTGGGCAGAGTTTGCCCGCAATAGTGTATTCTAACCACTTTGCCACCGTGGCTCTTTGCCATACAGCAATGCTTCTCAACCTGGGCAACCTTGAAGATATGTGGACTTCAACCCCCAGAATTCCCCAACCAGCTGAAGTCCCACACATCTTCAAGCTGCTAAGGTTGAGAAGCATTGAACTAGAGGGAACACATTGGAGAAGACCATTCCAGAGCAATCTGGGGCTCAGCGTGTAGGAAGCAAAGGGCTGGTTATGAACATCTACAGGAGGCAGCTGGGCCACAACCAACAAAGACATGAAATCTTGTTAAAAGAAAAATACGAACAGCGCAATGCATCTGATGTGACCAGAATCTAATCCTTAAAGGAGAACATTTCCCTTGGATTCACAAATTCTTGGTTCTAACCCCCAGTATTTTCTTTCTAAAAAAAATGAAAGAAGCTTGAGAAATACACAACCCACCTTTGCAGAATTTGTATGTAACATCATGTGGACTGAATTCTCCTGGCTTGCATATTACACATTGTTATATCTTACACTGAAATATGCTTTAAAGCACTCCTTTTTATCACGGCGGTAGTATTTTGCAAGCGGCAGATCAGCTGAACGTGGCACAAAGCCTCAAGTTTGATTCCCAGTATTTACTACATGAAAAGGACTTAAAAATAAATAATGGAGCAGCCTGTCTTTCTGGCGCCAGTCAAAGGAGACAGCCCTGGGCTATAGAAGAAAACTAGATACAAATCTTTTGGAATAGCAAGTAGTTTGTGGCGTTTGGCACGTGCAAAACAGCATGTTTTTCACAGAACTTAGGGAAACAAAATACTTTTCTCTTACAGGTTAAGAGGTCACACTAAACCATTGCTTGATTACTTAAATCACAACTGGCTGCTTCCATTCATCACACCAAGCCTTGCCAATTCATACAGTAGGCGAAGCCCAAACAATTTGGCAATGGGTGTTGTGTGAAGCTAGCTGATGCTTTTAAGTTTTGGGATGCTTTTTCTGGCGAATCATAGAGCCGTGGTGTTGGGAAGCAACCCATGGACCATCCAACCCAACCCCTGTAATACGCAGCAAATTCAAGCTAAACCAGGGGTGGGCAACCTTGGCTCTTTTATGACTCGTGGACTTCAACTCCCAGAATTCCTGAGCCAGCCATGCTGAGGGGAAAGGGAGAGGTTTCCAAGCTGAGCCATGCTGGTTCAGGAATTCTGGGAGTTGAAGTCCACGAGTCATAACAGAACCAAGGTTGCCTACCCCTGAGCTAAACCGTCCACAAGGAATGAACGTCCATTGTCTTCTTTGAAACCTCCAGAAATGGAAAATCCATACCTTCCATAAGTAGACTGTTCCATGGTGGTGAAGGTTTTACTATCAGGAAGTTTTTTTTCTTATATTTAAACAAAATCTAAGTAGCTGCAACTTATATCTGTAATTTCTGGCCCTAATTTTGGCCATGGATAAAAGTTGTTGGCCCTCTTCCACGTAGCCTCTCTTAATGTTCTTCAGCATAACTCTCATCTCTCTCCTAAGCCTTGATCTGTCATGGAGAAGTTTGCCAGCATCATTTCTGGTCCCCATTGTCTCCTCTTGTTGTTAAATCAAGGGCAGAATAACCTGCTACTTTTGTAGAAGGCACAGAACATGGTTTGATTGTGCATGAACATCAGCTGGTGTATGACAGAGCTAGGACATGGCTGTCTATTAATAGCCAGACATGGACTCCATCTTTGAGTGGAAACATCTTAAGAAACTTTCTCCCAAAGAAATCCAAATAATATTTGTTAAAGGCCTGAATGTATTAAAAAACGAAATTAACAAACAAGGTCAAAATGAAGGAAGTGGATCCCTTTAGATTCACAAATTGATGACTTGCTAATAGGAAAACATCTGGCTGAGCTTGTCTCAGTCTTCACTGCTTTACTGCTGTTTCTTCAAGTTATCACCTCTGGATGTGTGTTGCTATCAAGTCTATTTTTGTAGGGAGGAGAATTATTTATAGGATTTGCCCTTTTCCCTTGAAAAAGTTTGCCCAGTGAATATCCTTCCGATACCGAATAACCTTCCAATTTCACTAACGTACATTGCCTGGGTTTCCATCTGTTGTAAAAGAAAACGCATGCAACTTTCCCCCCAAGTTTTTCTAATTCAAATGAAGAACTAAAAAGAATTTTAAAAATCCATCTGTCCCGAGGCTGTGTGGTTCTGAGCTCCATTCAAAAACAGGAAATTAGTTTATCAGTTAAGTCCAAGGTGCTAATGTCTGCATTATTTTTGCATTAACAGACAAAATGGTCTTGTTATCCTCCGGAAATGTGGAGCATGAGATAGAAATTCCAACATCTTCCCATTTTCACAACGCTGACTGAAAGTTCCACCCAGAACTGATGAGATCATTACCCAGAGATACAGATAAAAACAAACAAATGAAATTCCTCCAAATGAAACACAGAATAAACTGAAAAGCCCGTATATTGTTATTTGTGGTTTCGGAAAGGAGAGAGAAAATTAATATTTGCTCTTTAAAACAACCAACACCTTATAGAGATTTGCTTTGTGGTACATTAAGTTTCCAGTATTCTCTCCACTGCACATTTTTTATATATGTAATGGCCTTCAATAAACAATAATAAGAATGCAACAGATTGTTAATAATTATTGATAAGATTAAAAAAAAAAGTCTGGATAGGGGACAAGGCAGTACTTGGAGACGGCAGAAGAGAAGAGAAGAGAAAGAACTGGAGAAAAATCCCAGAATACAAAGACTCGCAAGCAGAAATAGAACAACTGTGGCAAACATAATAATAATAATAATGAGATAGCACCAACAGTTATAGGCACCTTGGGTGCAATTCCAAAACATCTGGAGCACCACATGAACACTATCGGCTTTGACCAAATCCCCACCAATCAACTGCAAAAGACAGCCTTACTTGGAACATCCTGCAATGATATTTTTAACACCATCAAACAACAACATCTGACTATCTCAGGTCCTTGAGAAGCAATCAATGGGTGGATGAAAATGCCAAAATCCAATCTAAATATGTGGGTAACTTTGTGTGACAAACTACAATAATTGGCACTGACATCAGTCAATAACAAAAGACAGCTTTATTGAAACAGCTTACCTATGACACCTCTAACACCATAATACAGCATCTGCCTCTCCCAGGTCCTTGGGAAGGACTCAACAGGTAGGCAAAACAACAAAAAACTGGTGTTTTCAAGAAGAGACTGGACAGAATGGTATAAGGCAGGGCTCTTCAAACTTGACCCTTTGATGACTTGTGGACTTCAAATCCCAGAATTCCTTAGCCAGGGGAGTTGAAGTCCACAAGTCATCAAAAGGTCACGTTTGAAGAGCCCTGGATTAAAATCTCTACAGCAGGGGTCTTCAAACTTGGCCTTTTTATGACATGGACTTCAACTCCCAGAATTCCTCAGCCAGGCACACTGGTTGAGGAATTCTGGGAGTTAAGTCCACGAGTCATCAAAGGGCCAAGTTTGAACATCCCTGCCTTATACCATTCTGTCCAGTCTCTCCTTGAAAACACCAGTGATGGAGCATCCACAGCTTCCAGAGGGAAGCCATACCATGAGTTCTCACCGTCAGGACATTTCTCTTTAGTTTTACATGGGTTTGTTTTTTTAAAAAAAAAAATCTCTGGGAACTGCCCAGGGTTGGTTGAAAGATGGGCGACTATATATAAATATTTCAAATTATTATCAATACCCGTTCTCCGTTTCCTCTGACTCCATGAATTCCGAATGCACCGTGGAATCGACCGCACTGTCCGTCTCCACTTCGTCGTGCATCTCAGGATGGACCAGCGTGCTGGTGTCCTCATCCGTGAAGGTCTCGCACTCGCTGTAGGTGCTCTCGGAGCCCATATAAGCGCTGTCCGTCACCTCATTGGCCTACAGAAGGCAAAAAGAGAAGCAGAGATTGGTGGCAAGCCTGCACCAAACACAAAAACGCACAAAGGGAAAGAAGGCTGCACAACATCTTTAACAGGGAGCACGTCACAGTACTGTTAGTCCTCAACTTACAACTCCAATTGGGCCCAAAAGTTCAATTGTTAAGCAAGTTTGGCTCTGTTTCGTGATCTTTCTGGCCCTAGTTGTGAAGGGAATCACTACAGTTGTTTAAAGTAGCAACTGGTTCATATTTATGACAATTCCAGTGTCCCAGGGTCGTGTGATCCGCTTTTTGCAACCTTCTGACAACCCCTTTTATGACCTTCCTTTCCACAGTTGTGAAGTGAATCTCTGCAGTTGTTAAGTTACTCACATAGTTGTTAAGTGAATCTGATTTCCCCATTGACTTTGCTTGTCACAAAACATGCCAAAGGGGGTCACAGCTGACCCCGGGACACGGAAGCCGTCATAAATACGTGCCAGTTGCTAAGAGTCTGAATTCTGGCCCACGTGACTTTGGGGAGGCTGCAAGAGTCGTAAGTGTGAAAAACGGTCACTCTTTTTCAGTGTTGTTGTAAAGTGGTCACTAAATGAACTGTTGTAAATCAAAGACTACCTGTAATACCTGGTTTGTGGTTTAGTGCAATGTATGAACCCAGCATGGTTTGATATAGAGAAGGATGGGCAAAACCTGGAGACAGAGTCAAGAAGGAATCAGCTGGAATCCTTACGTTCTCACAAATGGTCTAGATCAGGGGTCCCCAATCCCCGGTCCATGGACCAGTACCGGGCCGTGGCATACCAGCAACCGGTCCGCACAAATAAGCAAAGCCCCATCCGTGGGATGCAGGCAACACACAAAACCATGCACTCTCCAGTCTGTGGAAAAACCTCTCCACAGAAACGGTCCCTGGTGCCCAAAAGGTTAAGTGAATCTTAAGGTCCCCTCTTGTCTAGATCCAAACCGTCTTGAATTCCATTGACTCTTTTCTAGTGCCAATTTAGTGCTGACTATTAGTTGACTAGATTTTTGTATAGAGGCAGGAGCAATAAATCATCTTAACATGTGGTCCTGGTTGCCTGACATCAACGCAATATGCCATGCTTAACAAAACCATGGCTGAGACAGATCCATGGACCAGATTTAATGCTCTGTACATTTTCATGAACTGACCTATCAGAATAAATATCTGTGTGATCTTTGTTGGGCAATTTTGATTTGTCCAGGTCCCAGAGATCCTTCTCAAATTAGGCGGTTTTGTCTGCTGTGTGTCTCAATGCACGTGCAAACCTTTATAACTGCACCGCCAGCCCAGCATGGAAATCAGTCATATTATATTTTATAAATATAATTTTATAACTATAAAATCACGGAGCTGCGAGTCTCAAGATACCCCTGAAAAGGTATCAGAAACAGCAGCGTTTTAAAATGACAATTGGTTCTTGTTAAAAAGCAATTTGAAGGTACTGATTCAGAAGATTTTAAAGATTAATATATGACTGAAACCAGAGGTTTTTTTTTTTCTTTTGGGATTGATGGACAAACAGCTGGAAAAGAAAAGTCACAGAGCTTTTTTTTTTTAAAGGGGGTAACTGCAGCAAAATGACTGTATAAAATTGAAAGATTTGGCATTGTGCACAACAGAGGAATGATGAGTGAAAATGATGGAACTTGCTGAGATGGCGAGATTTAACTTCTTTGTGGGAGAAAAAGGGAGAGAAAAGACAATTGTCTGTGTTTTATGGTGACTGAAAGCCCCTTGTAAATTTTTTGCATGTAACAGAAAAAAAAATGAATTTATGCTTTACAGTTGTGATGAATAGACAGGATAGATTATAAAAAGAAGACCAGCTATGCTGTAACCACAGGTATATTTATAATTGTATTTATAACTGCTTCTATGTTTTTAATCTCTTTTCTATTTCTCTTTTATTTTTTCCCCTTCCTTGAACTTTTAGCTTTCTCTTTGATTTCGTTCTTCTTTTTCTTTTTCACTTTACAGTAGTTTGCATTCGGTCTGATCTTTTTAAAAGCATCTTTAACAAAATTATACAAATGTGCCTGAATAGGAGTGAAAAATCTTGCCAATGACTCTTGAAGGACCCAAGGAGAAAACCAAGATAAACCAAACCAAACAACCTTATCAAGTTCACCAGGGTGTTGCTTTAAAAATAAACCAGGAAAGTCGACTTAAAGATTAGCAAGACCCCTCCACTTGGGGGTCAGTGTTGACCGATTGGAAGTCACATGTTTAACGGTCAATTGGAGGAGAGAGAAAATCCAGTAAGAGAAAAGTCACAGCTCAGCATTGCATTCCGAACAGGGATTTTCGACGGTCAAGTGAGGACTGTCTGTATTCTGAAACCTGCCTCCAGAAGCGGTGAATGCTCCAACACCGGAAGTTTTTAAGAAGAGACTGGATAGCCGTTTGTCCAAAATGGTGTAGGGTTTCCTGCCTGAGCAGGGGTTTGGATTCGATGACCTCCAAGATCCCTTCCAACTTTATTACTATTATCTTTTATTCATTAGACATGAACCTCAGTCAACTGAGCATTCAAATTGGCTGGCGCTGATAGTTGACACAGGTTGCTACCAGCATCCTAGGTGTCAACCAGGTACCTCCTTAAAATATGATGTTCCGAGTAGCGCAGTTTTTTGTAGCATTGCTGGAGTTATTGCAGGAAGCTGCAGTTTCTTGATGTGTTTTGCAAAGTTTTTGGACATAGTTCCCAGTGTCCTGATGACAATGGATACCACTGTTACACGTTTCATCCATAATGGCGCAGTTTTGATGGCCATATATTATTATTGTTGTTGTTGTTATTATTATTATTATGAATCATCGCACAGTCAGCCAGATGTTCAGACTGGATTTGGCATTTTGTCTACCTATCGAGTCCTTACCCAGGACCTCGAATAGGCAGATGTGGATGTTTGATGGTATTACAGGTATCGTTGCAGGATGGAAGCAGTTCCTAGTAAGGCCGCCTTTTGCAATTGACTAATAGCGAATTTGTCAATGCCAATGGTGTTCAAGTGGTGCTCCAGTTGTTTTGGGATTGCACCCAAGGCACCTATTGGGTGCAATCCCAAAACAACTATTATTATTATTATTATTATTACTACTACTACTACTACTACTATTATAGGGGGCCCAGCTGGCTAGGTAGACTTCTGCACCAGGAAGTTGAGCACACCCATATTTTGCTGCAGCTTCCATCCTGTCAAGACTGATGCTTTCTTAAAAGGCTGTTTTGGGTTCCAGAGAGTTGGGGAGGGAGGGAGGGAGGGAGGGAGGAAGGGAGTGAGTAAGAAAGCTGAGGGAGGGAATAAGCACCTTTGGAACAAGCATGACCTGGATGATTGAGAATCTCCATAGACAGGAGGAAGAGGAAGATCCCTGTTTCTCCCTTAGAGGTCCACTAAAATCTCAGGCTGAAGAGGGGGTGAAACTGTTTGCCTAGAACAGTGGTTCTCCACCTGTGGGTCGGGACCCCATTTGGGGTCGAACGACCATTTCACGGGGGTCGCCAAACAACGCAGTCCGCCATTTTCCCCCCCTTTTCCTTAGCTCTGCTACTCCCTTTTATTCTATTGGCTTTTGAAAGCCAATTGAATAGACTCTCTTGAACAGAGTCTAATTCTATTGGCTTTCCAAAGCCAATAGGAATTGTCCAGGCTGTCTCTGCCCTGCTGAGCCCGCCAAAAGTCCCATTCTGCAAACGGTGCTGCACCAGTTGAGTAGTCCTCGACTTACGACCGGTGGAGTAGTCCTCGACTTACGACCGGTTGGGGGTCGCGGCATTAAAAAGGTTGAGAACCACTGGCCTAGCCAGCTCACACGCCTTTGCGCCCAGCTCCTCCGTTTACAACTCCAGGAAGGGCCAGCCAGTCTCCAGGGCAGCTGCTTCGTGCCCTTGACAGATCCCCCTGGAAAGGAAGTTTTTGCATTACCAGCACTCCTGACTCGACACATTCCGGCTTCCCTGACAAATCCTTTCTTCTAGCAACTGCAGGATTGTTAAACAAAAGCCCGGGTTTAAAATGAGTGGAGGGGGGAGAGGCAGGACATAGAGATCTGCCCTTCTCGCCTCTTGGAACTCAGGAGTTATAAAAGAAATAAACCCCCAAAAAAGAAACTTGGTCCCAATGACAGATACGCTACTACTCTACTGTAGCCCCGAAGTTCTCAGGAAAAAAGAATCCCCAAAAGACACCTGACTACGACCTATGCAGAAACCCAATCCAGGTCATTTATTGTATTCCAACGAGCGATGGCTGTGTACAAAACGTGCATCTCAGCAGAAGCAGCACAACCCAAAAGGCAAATGAGCCAGTTGGGTCTAATGGTTAAGGCACCAGGTTAAAAGCCAGGAGACGGTAAATTCTAGTCCCGCCTTAGGCATGAAAGTCGCCAGCTGGGTGACTTTGGGCCAATCACCAGGAGACGGTGAGTTCTAGTCCCGCCTTAGCCTTGAAAGTCGCCAGCTGGGTGACTTTGGGCCAATCACCAGGAGACGGTGAGTTCTAGTCCCGCCTTAGCCATGAAAGTCACCAGCTGGGTGACTTTGGGCCAGTCCCTCTTTCTCTCAGCCCAACCTACCTCACAGGGTCGTTGTTGTGGGGGAAAGAGGAGGAGGAAGGTTTGCCACCTTGAGTAATTTGTAAAAATAATAATGGCGAGATATAAATAAATGAAATAATCATACTATAAAACATCAACACCTGCCTATCCCAGGTCCTTGAAAAGGACTCAATAAGTGGATAAAAAAAAATGCCAAATCTAGTCCGAACATCTGGCTGACTGTGCAACAAACAACAACAACTACTACTACTACTACTACTACTACTACTACTACTACTACTACTACTACTATTATTATTATTATTTCAACAACTCATCCCCTGGAATAAAATCATGAAGTCACCTAAGGATAAAATGAGCTGATTCTGTTTCACCAAATCCAAGACTGCATCAGGAAGAAATTACAAACTTTGCTGCCTCAGTTTCTTCAGATCCTCTCTTCACCTAACCAAAGGCTCTAAAGACGCCCACCCACCCACCCACCCAGCTCGCTTCTAACATTTAATAAGCTTTAAACATTCAGTGGTACAAGAGACGAAAGCTGACGAAGCCTGCAACTTCCCCAATAAATTCCAAGATTTGTTCCCTCTGGGGGAAAAAACAGCTGTTAACCTTTCCATTTTTAAAATCCAGGACAACAAAAAACGGCAAGCAGCAGAATACAAACTCTCTAGGCCCCCTCCCTACACCCAGGGATATATACATCAAGAATAGTCCTTTCTATAGATCTTAAAGGTTAACCCATCCCAAACCACTGTGGCATTCTGACAACAGACCATTCCTGAATTAATCCGTTGTTGGGTTCCCACAATACCTTGAGCTACCTCCCACCTCCTAACCAAACTCATCAAGCTTAAAACGTTCCACCCAGAGGCCCACGGAGTCTTTAACTAACCTGGTTCAGCAACTCAGGTAAGCCCAGCTGAAAGGGCTGTTTTCCAACCCTCGTCCGGCACTGCGTATTTTGCTTATGTATTCCTTCGCGTAGCACAGCCCTTTTCCTGACCTCAACAAGACCCACGGTGTGTTAATTCCCCAGCTATTTCAAACCAATGATTTACCTGGACTGCATCTCTGTGTCCAGCTGGCATTTCCCACCCAACCTGTTTCTCCGTTGAACGGAGAGTCAATTCTTCTCTCTCTCTTTTTTTTTTTTCCCCCCTTCCCCGCACCAGCTCTGGAACAAGGAAATCCATTTTAAAATTGCAACTCGCTGCCTAAGCAGATTCAAGGAAACAACATTCCGGCTGATTTCCTACCTTTTTCCAAGCAGGATAGGCAGTCCTACAGGCCAGTAACTAGCTCAGACTAAGCGCCTTCCAAGTTTACTTTCACTGGGCTTCCTAAAGAACCACAATCTGGGCTGGACGAAGGACCACACAGCCCATCCTAGCAGACCTGATCAGGATTTTAAGTTGGGGAGTGCGTTTTGGCTGTAAATGCTGATCATTGCTCCTGGATCTGCCTGGAGGGAGAATGCCCCCCAGCTTTCTGCTGAACGGAATCAGGAAAAGGAAGAACCTAAGGATCAAGAAATCTGGAACTGGGCAGACCTGCACAAACTATGGAGGAGATATTCCCTTCCCTCACTTCCTCATTTCTCTGCCATTTGATCAGAGTCCTTTAATTAAAGGGAGTTTTCTTGGCCTTTGGGACAAAAAAAAAAAAGAGAGAGAAACGGGGAGTACAGGCATTGTCCATGAAACTTCTCCATTTCTAGGCATCCCGTGTGGAGCAATGCTTGGGAGAAAAGAGAGAAGTGAAAAAGCAGTGGACCATCACATCTGAGGGTGGGAAAGTCTTCTGAATATCGCTGATGGCTGTTCTTCTGCCAAGGAAGGCTGTTCCTGTTTTGATCCATTCCCAAAATAGATAAGCCTGTTGGAGCCGATATTCAACATTCTACCTGGGGGGAGGGAATTTGGGGGGCGTAGGAGGGAGGGACTCCCTGATGGGTGGAGATTGAGCAAAAAGGCATGGTGCAGATCCCTTCAGCCAAAGAGGGTCAGCTGGGGGGGGGGGCTAGAGGTGGGCTTTTTTCTGTAGTGGTTTCTGATCGATGGAACATTCTCCCTTCGCAGATCAGAATGGCGCCAACCCCGTTGGCCTTTCGCAAGGCCCTAAAAACCTGGTTATGTTCCTGAGACTTCGGTGCTGAATCCATCAAGGGCCCCGTTCCCTGGCTATATTGCTAACTAGCCAGGTATCCTGGTTGCTGTTTTGGATGTTTCTATTGTTTTTGTTGTTGTTGTTGTTTTAAAATGTTTTTAATATTTTGATTGCAACAGATTTTTTTTGAATTGCAAACTGCCCAGAGGGAGGGAAGGAAGGAAGGAAGGAAGGAAGGAAGGAAGGAAGGAAGGAAGGAAGGAAGGAAGGAAGGAAGGAAGGAAGGAAGGAAGGAAGGAAAGAAGGGATTGCAAAACTGGTTTTGTTACAAGTCATTCTGAGTTTCACACACATCTCTTTTGAATAAGCTATACCCACAGCAATGGACTTTGCATACTCTTGAGAACTTCTATCCTTGTGAGCTGTTCCAAAGTCCTGAAATGTCTTTGAAGAAAATCAAGTAAATATTAACTCTCCACAAATAAGGCATGCGTGCCTGGTTAGTTAATCCCAAACCTAGCCACATCTTGCTGCATCCATCCAGACCCATTCAGTTCATCTGGCAGTAGGAACTAGTCTGATTGTTCCCTGGGAGCTTATGAATAAGGCCTGTTGACAGCACTCACTACTCACAGGCAGACTTCTCTTATAAATGAAGGCTCTCTTTAGCTGCTGTAGCTAACAGCTATTAACAATAATAGTAATATGAATGGATTAAATATTAATTACAATGCAGGAGGTGCCTCTCGCTATTTGTGACCAACGCTGGATGCACCTCTCTCGCTCATCCAATATATCTAGTGAAGAGGTGATGTGTAACTTAAAGATGAATCAATTTCTTCTCTCCTAAAAATGTTGAGGCACACAATCCACCCTCAGATTATGGACTCTGTCTCCCAATTAAATCCTTTGTAACTGACAGTGTGTGATCCATATATTCTTCGGTGGCTCATAAATTAGTTCCTTTTCAAAAGGCTGCAAGATGCTTTGTTGTTTCTGTTCAAAAGAGTATTACTTCCCGCAAACAGTTATAAATAAATCCAACTTTCCTTTAACAATTTCCATCCACTCCACTCTCTGGATTTCCTCCACTGTTTGTTTTGTTTTTCACCTCTTGGTTCAGGCACTTCCAGATGTTACAGACAGATAATTGTACAGTTCTATTTCACACACTGGCCTTCGGATGATAGTTGCTGAATGTATTCCTCTTCCTATCTTTGCAGTTTCTGGATGATCACTGAGATCAGATACTTTGGACAGCCAGCAGAAGGCAGCATTGCCAATTCAGAAAATTTGGATTATTATTTTTTTTAAAAAACTCTTCAAAAACTATTTTTTTTCTCTTTTCCCCTGGTTACGAGGGTACCTATTATAGGTAGTCCTTGACTTACAAGCACAATTGAGCCCAACATTTCTGTTGTTAAGTGAGACCTTTGTTAAGTGAGTTTTGCCTCATTTTACAACCTTTCTTGCCATCATTGTTAAGTGAATCGCCACAGTGGATAACTTAGTAACACAGTTGTTAAGTGAATCTGGCTTCTCCACTGATTTTGCTTGTGAAAAGGTGATCCCATGACCTTGGGACACAGCAACGGTCGTAAGTACGAGTCAGCTGCCAAGCCTCTGAGTTTTGATCCCATGCTCATGGGGATGCTACAAAAGTCGTTAAGTATGAAAAATGGTCATGTCACTTTTTTCGGTACCGTTATAACAGAACAGTCACTAAATGAACTACTGTAAGTCAAGGACTACCTGTGGTTTGTGTTAGTTTTGTTTTTTTCCCACTGGGGAACCTGTTCCAAAATTGCTTCCTAGCCTCCTAATACTTTCAGCTACTTAATCCTTACTAATATCCTGTAATTTTCAGGATTTCGATTCTCAAAGGCCAAGTTTCCATGGTCTTCGTAACTGCCCATGAGTAGCCAAGGAAACAAATTAAAGAGAACAGGGCCTGACTTGTCTCCTCTGCTAAACCCCACCCAAGAGATAACTCAAGGAACTTTGAAGACCCTCTTCCTAAAACACTAAACAAAAATGACTTGTGTGTAAGTGTGTGGAAGCACCAACAGGGAAGAAAAACCTATCATGGAACCTTCTCCAAAAAAAACACAAGAGAAGGGCCATCACTTTCTCACCAGTAGTAGCCCACATGTTTAGCCAGGCACAGTACTGGCTCATTATAAAGAATTTAAGTATTTCATTATCATTTGATTAGGTTTTAATGAGGGCGAAGGGGAGGGAAGCTGGGGGGCGGCCTTCTGCTTTATTGGAAGCTTTTATCGCATAGCACCCAGATCTGTGAAATTGATGCTGTAAAACTGATGTGAAAGAAGCATAAATAAATTAATCTGCTTTGTTTCCAGCCTGCCCATATGCGGAGTTCTCTCAACGAAGATGATCAGGGGACTGGAGGCTAAAGCATATAAGGAACGGTTGCTGGAATTGGATATGTCTAGTTTAATGAAGACAAGGACGAGGAGGGACATGATAGCAGCGTTCCAGTATCTCAGGGACTGCCCCAAAGAAGAGGGAGTCAAGCTCTTCTCCAAAGCGCCTGAAGGCAGGACGAGAAGCAACAGATGGAAACTAACCAAGGAGAGAAGCAACCTAGAACTAAGGAGAAACTTCCTGACAGTTAGAACAATTAACCAATGGAACAACCTGCCTCCAGAAGTGGTGAATGCTCCAACACTGGAAGTTTTCAAGAAGAGACTGACAGCCATTTGTCTGAAATGGTATAGGGTTTCCTGCCTGAGCAAGGGGTTGGACTAGATGACCTCCAAGGTCCCTTCCAACTTTATTATTATTATTATTACTATTACAACAACAATTGGACCAGAATTTCTGTTGATTTAGGGGAAGGAGCGGCAGAACCTGGAGGGGTGGAGTGAAAAGAGGGATCAGCCTAGAATCCCTACATAGCCACCAGCAAGCTAAGTCCACCCCCCCACACACACTTGAACTCCATTGTCCCTTATCTAACTTCTAGCAGGTGCTAATCTAAGTTGAGAAGCTCCCTGTGCAACAGGCTGTTGAGCAATAAATCAGTTTATTTGGACCTTCTCTGATCTTTCACGCCTATCAGTTGATTAAGTGAGTCAGCAGGACATTACAATCTTTTTTGCCCCCAAGGTGATAGCCTATAATCAATAAAAAGGAAACAGCCCATTCTTCTCAGCAGAGCAAAAAGAAACCACGAATATGCGCTGAAGTGATGAAAAAAAAAGTGCTTCTCTTTATAGCTAACTCTCTCAGGAGACAGGTATGCACAGACTGGATTTACTTCATCACTCCACGCTTTTCTATATTTGCAAGCCGGCTTGCTTCCTCCACCTCTGTCCATTAGCCCACAGAGCTGCCTTCCATGAAGTTATTCCAGTTCTGCCCATTCACCGTACCCAGGGAGACAGACAACGTCTGATTGTTACTTGGCCTCCAGGGTTAAAAGTCAAGCTCAAAAGGTTATTTGCCCCAATTTTTCTCCTTACGTATCCCTGTTATGGGTCAAAGGCTACCAAACAGAACAGGAGTAGGAAAAAAAAAAAATACACAGTCCTCAATTTAGGATTGATAACTTAGCAACCGTTCAAAAGTATACCTTTGCCATAACAAAAAAATTAATCTTTATTCTCTATCAATATTGCAGTTTATTCGTTGCAACTGTACCGGGCTGTGCATGTTAGTGCGTGCCTTGCAGCTCACGATGTCCAGTAATTATTATAAACTCTACCTGCTCCCAGTCAGGATTTAGGAAATAAGCTATAATTCAGCAAAGGAATGTCTGCTATGCCCAGGTTTAATCCCTGACACAGGGAGCAGCCCTTTTTGGCCTGGGGGATCTCACCAGATATGCCAAAGTCCGCTCTCAAAACACAAAGAGGGAAAACCTGTTTTCTGACAATTTTCACAATACTGTATTCTCCTTAAAACTCCACACTGCCGTGTTGATTTTCTACTTAATTCAAGTCTTAGTTTTCTGTTATTCACAACGATCAGTTCCCAGATCACTTCATACAATACACTCGGCTAATTAAATGATGCAAAAATATTGGATTGCATTGTTTCATTTTTCAGTGGTTTTTTACAGGTATGTGATTTATGATATGGTCTGTAATAGCGACCCAGCCCACTGATTGATTGATTGATTAATATTCCTTTCCTGCTCATCAACCCATCAAGCAGAAATTGTTGGGGGTAAGAAGCTGACTGTGTAAACTGCTTAGAGAGGGCTGTAAAGTACTGTGAAGCAGTATATAAGTCTAAGTGCCATTGCTATCTTTCTTTCTTCCTTCCTTCCTTCCTTCCTTCCTTCCTTCCTTCCTTCCTTCCTTCCTTCCTTCCTTCCTTCCTTCCTTCCTTCCTTCCCTCCCAGTGGATAGAATGCAGTGTTATAGGCTGACTCTGTCCACAGTCAGAAGTTCGATCCTGACTGGCTCAAGATTGACTCATCCTTCCATCCTTCCGAGGTGGGTAAAATGAGGACCCAAATTGTTGGGGGCGATAGGCTGACTGTGTAAACTGCTTAGAAAGGGCTGTAAAGCACTGTGAAGCGGCATATAAGTCTAAGTGCTAAGTGCTATTGCTATAGAAATCTTTCAGAGATAAGGTCCTTCTTAAGCATCATCCACGTTCTCTCACATTCTCTAAAGTAGCCAATGAGACGCACTTAAGCCAACGGAAGTGACCCAGAGCCATTGGGTGGCTATGTTTTTGCTCACCTCGTATGTCACGAAATCATCAAATTCATCAGCGCACGCAGGAGGCGGGTCATCGGGAGTGTACCCCATTGGGCAGAGCTGACTGTCTGGATCTGTTGGAGGAAGAGCAGAGTGGAGTTATTTGCAAAGAGAAAGATCACTGAAAGCATTCTTGGATTACAACTGTGGCTCCAATAAATGACAGCTAGATTAGTGTAAAGCAGGGGTCTTCAAACTTGGCCCTTTGATGACTTGTGGACTTCAGCTCCCAGAATTCCTCAGCCAGCGTGCCTTTTGAAGAACTGCATGGGAGTTGAATTAATAAAAAAAGGAGAAGTGATGATAGGAGTTCCATCCGCCAAAGTTAATTCCGGTGAGCTTCACAGAAAAATACAGATTCTCCTTTCCTTTGTAGAGAATTTGTACACGAAGCTTTGGCAATCACAACGGTTGGGTTAACAAAGCATACTTAATGCAACCATTCAACACAAACCAAGCCTGGATTAGATACTGGGGAAATACCTGGCCCCCAAACTTTCCTTTACATTCCTCAGCCAGGACTTTTTAAGCCACATGGACCGTCTGTGCAAATTATTCTCTTCCGTGAAGCTGCCGACATTCCAATTCAGCAGCTCAGGAAAAATAATAGGAAGCATTTCTTCAAGCAAAATTTATGCTCAGTGGCAGAGCTATTTAAAAAACAGCCTCCTCCTTTTTTTTTTTTTGAGACACCACAAAGAGGACTCACAAAGTGTCTCATCGCAGCATTTTCTAGGCCCGGTCCCAGAATGCCCTGGGAGAGCGCATGGCGGCGCAATCATTACAAAAATCACAGCATTGATTGTCCAGGTTGCGCTTCCATACGGGTAATCCCTACGACCACAAGTGAGCCCAAAATTTATGTTGCTAAGCGAGACAGTTGTTGTGAGCTTTGCCTCATTTGACTACCCTTTTTGCCACAGTTCAGTGAGTCACTGCAGTTGTGAAGTTAGTGACACAGTTGTGAAGTGAATCTGGCTTCCCCCGTCGACATGGATGAAGGTCACAGAAGGGGGTCACATGACCCTGGGACGCTGTGACCGTCATAAATACCAGCCAATTGCCCAGTATCAGAATTTTGATCACATGACCCAGGGGAGGCTGCGACGGTCGTTAAGTGTGAAAAACGGTCACAAGTCCCTTTTTCCAGTGCTGTTGTAATTTTGAACGGTGTAATAAGTCGTGGAAATATGTGTATTTTGTTGCCCACCTTAATTGACTCCTCTTGTTTTGTTTTTATAAATCCTCAAGGAATTCCCTACTGTGCAGGTCCCCAATACGTTGTTTTGATTGCTCGCAAGCCAACAATCACAGCCTCTTTGAGGAGCTGCAACTTGGAAACCGTGAGGAATGCGGTCATGTGAGAAACCGCCCCCCCCTTCCATGCTGCTGCCTAAACAATACTGAGCAAACGCAACACAACATCACCAACTCATTCCCCCTCCAGCCAGCCACCCGGGGCAACTGCAGATGGTGCATTGTACATCTTTGTGGTTGCTAAGGAGAAGTTTGCAACTCAACTCTCCAGTACCATATCCACAGGATTGCGTTCCTGCCCAAAGGAACAATTAAAAAACAACAACAACCCAGGGCATTCACACCCCCTCCAATCCTTAGTCGTGCCACACAACTCACAGAAGCCCATCTTCATGCTATCCGTGTATGTGTCCTGCTAAGCAGACCAGAAGCATAGTAATTGCAATAGCACTTAGACTCAGATATCGCTTCGTACTGCTTTTACAGCCTTTGGCTCCCAGAATTCCCCAGCTAGCATGCTGGCTAAGGAATTCTGGGAGTTGAAGTCCACTCACCTTAGAATTGCCAAGGTTGAGAAACACAGTTGAAACCCAAAATCCTTTGCAACACCTGAGCTCCTATTCTGGTGATTTCCTGGGAAAATCCATGCGTAAGTCCTTACTTAATAAGCATTCATTCCATGACCATTTGAAATTTACAACGGTGGTACTTAATGACCAGTCCTCACAATTTCAGCCAAAGCAGCATCCATGTAATCATCATCTAAATTTGGACACTCAGTGACCAGCCCACCTTTCCAACTGTCTTCGCATCCCATAGTCATGTGATTGGCATTGGACACCTTCACTGCCAGCTTCCTACAAATAAAATCAATGGGGAAGTCAGCAGGAAGCCATAGGTCTCTTAAATGACCCTATGATCCTTGCTTAAGTACCAGCACAAAAACGCCACTTAAGTCATACCAGTCATGTGTGGGTCTTCGCTTAATTACCACATTGTTCAACAACCAAGTTGCTGTTGTTGTTAGTTGTGAAGTCACGTCCGACCCATCACGACCCCATGGACAACGTTCGTCCAGGACTTCCTGTCCTCTATCATCTTCTAGAGTCCATTGAAGCTCACGCCTATTGCTTCAGTGACTCCATCCAGCCACCTCGTTCTTTGTCGTCCCCTTCTTCTATCGCCCTCCATCTTTCCCAGCATCAGACTCTTCTCCAGTGAGTCCTTCCTTCTCATTAGGTGACCAAAGTATTTGAGTTTCAACTTCAGGATCTGGCCTTCTAAAGAGCAGTCAGGGTTGATCTCCTCCAGGACTGACCAGTTTGATCACGTTGCAGTCCTGGGGACTCGCAGGAGTCTTGGCTATCTGTAGTTTTCTGGGCCACAATACGGATGCAACCAACTGGCCACATTATTTTCTTCCAGAAATGTTCACCTTTACCTTCTCAAGCTAGCCTGTCGCTTAGAAATTTCCTGGCGGCTTCCTATTTGATATTAACAAGGTCAGACTCTGATTAGCATTTCAGCCCAGAGAAGGCCAAGCAGGTAGTGCCACCTGCTGAGATAAAATAAAATTTCCTTCAAAGCAAACTCCACTGCTGGCAACCTCACAGAACACCCATGCCACATTCTCGCACTCTGTTCCGGTCTTCTGCTGAGATGTTTGAATTTCCCAGATGGGAAACTATGGGAACTATGCCTGATAGTTCCTGGAGGTACTCCACCCAAACATTAAACCCCTCCAGCTTCCTTAGCTCCCAAGTCTACCCAAAGTCCACAAGAAGCTGCTTCCTAACAGATTATACAGATTTCCCAATCCTTGGAGATTAAACATAGTCTCAAATGAAAGCAAGACACATAATGGTTTCCTAACTGAGTAATCAGAACCAAAGGGAAACCAAATTCAAATGTTGCATGCGTTCATTCTCTCTTACCCTCTCTTTGTCTCTCACACACATACACACCCGAGACCTAGATCAGAGCTTTGCAACCTTTTCATCCATTGTACCACTTTTAGGATATGGCAACATCCGAGGACCACCAGTCGCCTAGCAAGGTGTCCAAAACGTGATGACCCCCCCCCCAAAAAGAAGGGAAAAATGATAAAGTACAGGTAGTCCTCGACTTACAGCAGTTCGCTTAGTGACTGTTCGAAGTTATAATGGCGCTGAAAAAAGTGCCCCCCAAGGCACAGCTGAGCAAGACACCTGCCTGCCCACCCGGCAGCAGGGGTGGGGTGGGGTGGAGTTGGTTTTTATTCCCCCCCCCATCTGCTGGGTGGTTGCAGCAGGTTTTGGTCACTTCACCTGACCCTGGGACACTGTGACCGTCATAAATATGAATCAGTTGCCAAGCATCTGCATGTAAATCACAAGACCCTGGAGAGACTGCAACATTCCAGCTGATCAGCACTTCTTCTGGGCTCAGCAGAAGCGTCAGGATCAGTGTTGCTTTCCAGCTGATTGGTGCTTCTTCAGGGCTCAGCAGAAGGGCCAGGATCAGTGCCAAGCTCCAGCTGGAGCCTGGCGCTGATCCTGGCGCTTCCGCTGAGCCCTGACAGCCCTGCAGCTCCAGCTGTCTCTCGCTCAGGCTTGTGCGGTGCTGCCACCGGTTCAGCTCATTCTCCTCCCCCGCTACCACTTTTCTAGGATGCTCGCGTACCACCTGCCAGGTGCCAATGTACCTCAGGTGGTACCCGTACCACTGGTTGAAAAACCCTGACCTAGATCATCCACTTATTCTCATCTGATCTGAGCCATTTATTTAGTCTGAACCTCTGTGGATGACAGCGGATGCAAAGCCTAATTAGTTATTCCAGCGAACGTGTTTTTGCTTTCAGCATCTGAATTGAGATTAATCTCCCAGGATGATCTAACTAGAAACATAGAGGTTCACTCAAATCACCAACTGCTGGATTCCTGCTTAATAGGCCTAAGAGAAAACTAATTTCTTCCCAAGAGGGTTGCGAGAATATGGAAGAGGACACTTTACATCAATTACAGGGGTCCCCAAGCCCTGGGCTGTGGATCGGGACAGATGTGTGGTCTGTTAGGAACTGGGCTGCACAGCTGGAGGTGAGCAGCAGGTGAGCAAAACTGCACATGTACGGGATCTAGGTTGCACGTTCCTACTCTCTCCCCCCCCCCCCGCTGCGCTCCCCAGGTCTGTGGAAAAGTTGTCTTCCACGAAACCAGTCCTTGATGATTGGTGACTACTGCTCTACTGAGGATTTTCAGGCTTTATCCAATCTGGGCTTAGCAGATCATTATGAAAACAGGGACTCTGTTTTAAAACTACACAACGTTTGTTGTAATAAGCCAGATACATACAAATATGAGCTGAAGACCGCCCCAAACCTTGGCCAGTTGTCCCCAAAATTGGGGTGCACTTGCCTTCCTAATCCAATGGAATGGGAACAGATTTGTTCTTCCACTCTGTTCGTCTTGTTTTAAAGAGCCATGAATGTTCACGAAATGGGCTTGGAATATATGTTACTTATATGTAAGGGTGTAGGTCTATACATATGTTGCATATAGCATGTTTAAATGTGTGTTATGTATGTGTACACTTTGAGAGGAAGCAACTAAATTTCATTTGTAATGTGTGCCATTGTGCCCACAGGAAAAAAAAATGACAATAAAGATTGTCTATCTATATCCCATCAATGTGATGAAACTTCTCCCAAATGAGGATCTGGGAGAAGTAGGAAGGACTTTTTCCAAGTTGTGGACCTATTTCGGGTCCTTCTGATCCACCTGTATATAAAAAAAAAAACCAACCTCCATTTCTGATTGCAGAAATCCCTCGACAGAAGTCTTCGAAGCTGATCACGCCAAGCCCAGTGGGGTCCAGGAACTTGATCAAATCCTTCACCTGCAAATAGAGGCACAGATCAGACTTGCCATGCTAGGTTAGATAAATAGAAGTATTAATGTAAGAGAAAATTAATCTTATTGTATATAATACAGATAGGGAAATTTGGAGAGAGGAGTTGCTCGGACATTACCCCTGAATTGTATCTGAAGAGGGATGAGAGGGAAAAAAGGAGAGGAGAGAGAAAAGAGTAAAAGAGGGGAGAAGGAAGTAGGAAGGTTGGAGGAGAAGTGGGGAGAAGTGGTGAAGGAAAGAGAAGAGGAGAGGAAGAAGAGGGAAGTAGGGAAGAGAAGAAAGGGAGAAAGAAGGTAGAGAAGAAGGAGTGTGGAGACAGTGAAAGGGGAAATGGGCGAGCAACACCAAAAGTCATGTGTATGTATTTATTTCATTTTATTAAAAGTATCTTATATATGAATGTAAAAAGAACGTATGTTAACATCTGATAAATATCTCGGTATATGTATGGGGGAGAGTTTGGAAAAATAAAAAATAAAAAACAATTTAAAAAAAGTTCAGACTTGCCATGCTGTAGATTAAAATTTAGTTCAAGCTTCAGCCTTGCACAATGAACTTCAGTTTTTTCTAAACAATCCCAACAATTGGCATAAAACGTGCTTCAAGTTCATAAAGATAAATGAACACAAAGGGCTGTAATTTGCACTCATTAGATAATCACGTGCATGATGTACACAATGACTTAAACGACACCAATTTCATTTAAAAGACACTCAGATCCAAAAGACACCCTCTTCTCTCCAATTAGTCCATAAAATCAAGGTTCTGCGGAAGTCAAATGGATTTCTTTCTCCTTTTTGTGTGTGTTATTTTAATGAACTATATAAATGTCGCCTTGGACAGAAATAATGAATGTGCATATTTAAATTGGCATTCTCTCTCCTTAAATTTACAGTTTTATATACTCCCAATAGGTGCATTTTCCCCTAATTGTAGCACTGGTGCTGTTTGCAAATTTTTGTTTGATAGATTTGTTACTATTGCCAATGTTTTGTTGAGATATGGTTTGTTGGCATAAGCAAAAAGAAAAACTTCTAAAATGACTAAGGTTGTTCTCGACTTACAATTCGTTTAATGACCATTTGAAGTTACAACGGCACTGAAAAAAAATGACTTACGACCATTTTTCACACTTATGAGCGTTGCAGCATCACCATCATCATGTGATCAAAATTTGGATGCTTGGAAACTGATTGGTACTTACTATCGTTACAGCATCTCTGCAGTCACGTGATCAAAATTTGAATGTTTGGCAACTGGCATGTATTTATGACGGTTGCCGTGTCCCGGGGTCCTGTGATCCCCTTTTGTGAGTTTCTGACAAGCAAAGTCAATGGGGGAAGCCAGATTCACTTAAGAACCATGTTACTAACAACACCTGCAGTGATTCATTTAACAACTGTGGCAAGCAAGGTCATAAAATAGGGCAAAATTCAATTAACTGTCTCATTTAGCAACAGAAATTTTGGGTTCAATTGTGGTCATTAAGTAGCGGACTCCTTGCGCCTAACAATCGGAGCAGTGTTCTCATACCAGACTAAACCATGGTTTCAGGCTATAGGGTATTCTGTGAACCAAGCGAATGGGTTATTAAACCCTGATTCATGGCTTGCTATGCAAACCCAATCAAGTCTGACTTCATCTAAAAACCAGATGATTAAAAAGGAAGGCAGATTAATCACCAGCCTAGTGTGATTGTGAAGAGGCCCTGCACAGACCCTCACTTCAGCCATGAATTAAAAAAGGTGGATTATGCCTTCTTTAGTAATTGGGGGAATCATCCTGGCCAATCATTGTATGGATTACTGTAGTTAAGAGCTGCAAAGCTTTGAAAGATATTACATAAATAGTGAGAAATCATGAAACGATGACACACAGAAAGTCTCTCCCCCCCCCTTCTTAAACAGGCAAGCATTTTCATTATAATGTCCTTTAAAAAAATATTTTGATTGCAGAGGCTTTACTGGAAGAATAGGCAATTTGTCAGGATTCCCCAATTATAGGGGCTTTATAGTAAAGTAAAAAAAAAAAACCCACGAGTTTGCAGCTGTAGATAATAACACTTTTATAATGCTGCGGCAATTAGTGGGGAGGGAAAGATGGAGAGAAGAGGAAAAATCACAGGTTAGCAAAGATTAGGAGACTGGGAGAGAAAGACCGGTATCAGAAAGAGATATAATTAGCTTTTTTGGGGGGGGGAAACTATTCCAATTCTGCATAATGGGGCAAAACAGAACCGAGAGCATCCTACACGGGCCATGCAAATAAATAGGAAAGATGCAATGTTTTAATTCAGGCTCCCCTCCCCTCCCCCAGTCTGGAGAGTGTGGGCTTTTTCTGTATTTGTACTGAACAATGGGCACAAAGGTGACTCAACACCCTTATTACAATATATTAAATTATAATGTATGTTTTTGAATTGCCAGCTGCCCAGAGCCTTTGCTGAGATAGGCAGATAGATAGATAAATAGATAGATAGATAGATAGATAGATAGATAGATAGATAGATAGATAGATAGATAGATAGATATAGATATAGATAGATATAGATAGATAGATGATAGATAGAAATAGATAGAGATAGATAGATAGACAGATGATAGAGATAGATAGATAGATGATAGATAGATGATAGATAGAGATATAGATAGATAGATAGATGATAGATGATAGATATAGATAGATAAATAGATAGATAGATAGATATAGATAGTTGATAGATAGATATAGATAGATGATAGATAGATATAGATAATAGATAGATGATAGATAGATAGAAGATAGAGAGATAGATAGATAGATAGATAGATAAGGTTTTCGACCTTCAACTGTTTGTTTATTGACTGTTCAAAGTTACAAAAGCCCTGAAAAAAGTGACTTGTGACTGTTTTTCACACTTAACGATCCCCGTGGTCACGTGATTCAAAAATTCAAAGGCTTGGTTATTGATTCATATTTACAACGGTCGCAGCATCCCAGGGGGGTCACGTGATCTCCTTTTGCGACCTTCTGACAAGCAAAGTCGATGGGGGGGGGAAGACAGATCCACTTAACAACGGGGTTACTAACTTATCAATTGCAGTGATTCGCTTACCGACTGTGACAAGAAAAGTCGTAAAACTGGGGCAAAGCTCACTTAACAAGTGTCTCACTTAGCAGAAGGTTTGGGCTCAGTTGTGGTTGTAAGCCAAGGACTACCTGTGAATTCTTTTTTTTTAATGTTTTATTGATTTTCTAATTTTACATTTAAGCGTTTAAAAAGCAACGTGGCGGCTGGGTTAATCGATAATTCAATGACATACAAATATATTTAGTACAAGTCTCAAACTACCACATTAAATATTTCCTCCCTTTTCCCCTTAGTATTTACTGTCTCATGTTTAAACTAATACAATTCTTATTATATCAATTAAATAAAGATAACATTCTTACATTTATCAATCATTTTAGCTTATACATATCCTAGTTATTTTAACATTCAGTCTTTATAGACAATCAATGTCCTAATTAGTTTTTCCCAATTTTTAATTTCCCATTAATGTTTAAATTTAACATTTATAATTTCCAAGTTTTAAGTAACCAACTTAAAGTTCCCTTTATCACAATTCATCACCAAGTCTAATATTCAGAATATACATCTTATCTATGAATATATTCTATTTCTCACCATCTTGCATTATCTAATTAATAATACAATATAACATTCTTATTTTCTATTAATTTCCAAATGTCTTAAATTTAGTAACCAAAATTTCTCTTGTTTCAACATCAAACACTTCCTCTCTTTTTCTCTTAATGTCTACTATCTCACATTTAAGCTAGTAGAGTTCTTATTATATCAGCTAAATAAAAACATGTTTATTACATTTATCAATAGATGGACTACTGGTGAATTTTATCAGCCTCCGAGGACACCATAAGAAAAAATCCATGCCTCCCATTCAAAAACCATCCAAGTTAAAAACAACCTCTGGGGCCAGATGCCCTCTGGAGCATCTCTGTGTGTCCCCCCAGAGAGAGTGGGGTGAAAAATTGTGCTCCATGTTTGCACTGTAGTGGAAAGTATCAAGGACCGTGGTGGAGGTCATTAGCTTTGCAGATGCTCAAGGCCCCCACTTGACCCCTAACATTCCTGACCCCCTTCTGCAAACAGAACTTGGTCTCATCCCTTTTTTGGGGGGAGTGAGCATGGGCCTCAACATGCCATGCAAAGCCTGGCAAAGCCATCAAGGGGACAGAGGTGGTGGCCCTTGTTCCTGACATGCATTATTTAGCTCTGTGGTGACCCACGGAACAACAATGACAAGGTGACTCATATTTCAACCTTCACCAATGGCTGTTTGGCTCAGCATTTTTTCCGTCATGTTTTAACTATGCAAACAGAAAGCATCAACGGAAAACCAGGTTGACCACATAACTCATTACATAGTGCATCAGCTGGGGGAAAAAAGGGGGGGGTACAAATCTTACTGTTCTTTTGATTCTTCTGTGGAAAGTTTTGCTTACAAAAAGCAAAATCCAAAGGAACTTCTTCAAACCAGGAAATTGGTGGTTTTCAAGATGACGCATCTCTTAAACAACAGTACACCAAAAACATACATCCATCTCTATGTATCTTACATCTCTCTATATTTATCGTCTATCTCTCCATCTCTATCTCTCCATCTCCATCTATCCTATATATCATCTCTCATTTATCTCTGTCTATCCATCTATCTATATCCTCCATCCATCCATCTCTCCATCCATCTCTCCATCTCTCCATCCATCCATCCGTATCTATCTATCTATCTATATCTATCATCTATCTCTATCTATCTATCTATCTCTATCTATCTGTCTATCTATCATCTATCTATCTATCTATCTATCTATCTATCTATCTATCTATCTATCTATCTATCTATCTATCTATTTATTTATCTACAGGACCCCATGCTGGTCCTCAAAGAAAAAGATGCGAGACAAAATTCTGTCAGTAACAA